CAAATCCATATGCGATGCCCAGCCGCCCCAAATGATCTTTCCCAGCCTGAGCTTGGTGAGTCTGCAGGGACCTCGTGTAGCATCCAAAGAGCTGAAGGATGCCTCACGTCAAACGCCCCGCCTGCGAATAGCTGCCTTGGGGACCCACCTTCGCAGCTCCTTTGCTGGAGCCTTGGACGCTTGAAATCCTCAAGATGCTCAGGCTGACCAAAGTGCTGGGCGCAGTTGAAGCGCAAACGCATACATAGGCAAGGATCTGCAATATAATTTTTCCCAGGTGATTGCGCCAAGATGCCACAGGTGTCGTTTACATATTGACAGCCAGTTCGTCAAACTGACCCGCCCGTCAGTACAACCAATGAGTAAAACAGTCCTGGAAGTCAGTAGTCGGCAAAGCAATATTTCAGAGTCACCAAGCGTGCCAGCCAGGCAAACAGTCAGCCAGTCAGGAAGGCATTGCTTTCAGAGGATTAGTTGTTTGCCTTTCCTATCCTTGAAAGGTTGGTCACCTCCCGGTTTGACAGACCGTCCCACTTGCGTCCAAGAAGCTGCAGCCCATATCCAGGAGATTCCTTCAGATACGGGGGCGAAGGCCAAGGATCTCTACCCTGTGAGCCAGGTACTGCAGAACAGCTTTCTGGACCCGAAGCAAGCTGAGCCAATGGGAAGATGCCCGCGATTGCCGGCTTCGGCTTGAACGTCTGGGTGGGATGCAGACCCAAGCAGGTCACCAAGCCACGGGCCCCCAAACATGATGAAGTGATTGAACGCGCGCCTGGTTCTAACAAGCCATGAGAACAGTAGCCAGAGGGGGCAAAGCCGACATACGTCTCAGTTGCAAAAAAGGGAAGGCTCCGTGTATGTCTGGCAGCCCAGGCTTGCTTGATGGCAAAGATTGGACTCTTAGAGGTCAGCTGCCAGAGGAGTCTCATGGGAAAATCATGCCCTGGAAGAAACCAAAACACAAGTTTGATGCAAAGGCTCGCTTGTCGCATGCTGCCACACTTGACCAAAGGCACATCGTATTCGCGCATTGAAAACGCGTGTCCCTGGGCCCCGGCGGAGCGGCTGGGCGTAGCGAGCCATGGCGTCTGCTGCCTATCCTTCGGGAAAAGGCGGGAAAGTGTTCACGGGCCTACTCTCTTCCAATCAAAGTCAGTTTGGACCAAGTCGGCAATCTTTCGAAAAAGGTCGGTGCACCTTCAATACTTGGTGAAAGGGTGAATCCAACAAACGAAGCAAGACTTCCTCAAGGAGCCCTCATCATGAGCGGAATCGCTCTTGTACCCCTGATTCGGGCTAAAAGGAAAGATATGCGAAAAAAATGCCCACGCCAAACCTCCATTAGTATCCGAGGCGGGCTCCCTGTCGATTTCAACAGCCCAAAGCAAAAGCAATCGTTTTGGGTGACAAGCCCCGCTCAGGTGAAAGGCGCCTCAAACGCAAAATCCCGCCCATGGCACAACTCAGTGGGGAAAGGTCAAGTTTCAAGCCGCATAAGGTTAATCAGATTCTTGGTGCCTGCTGCTGGACGCTCCGTGCCGCAATTGGAGCAGCTGTACCTGCGTGCAGTCGCTGAAACATGGCAAGGGAAAGCGTCCGTGCCCAGTGGAAATTGAACACGTGCGCGCGCACTGAATAATTTGGTTAGGCTTGAGATGAAGTTGGAACCCTTCGCCCCTGAGCAATTGCCCTTTGTTGAGGGCATCTAGGGTCAAGCGATCAAGGGCTTGAATTCTTGGATGCTGGCCATGCCGAGGCTTGGGCCAACTGCTCAAATCGCCGCTTGTGGAATAATGTGGTTTGGTCAGGTTGTCTCTTCTCTCTCGGGAGACCCCATTAGGAGCATCCTTGGCCCGGTCTTGTTGTCTTGTGCATCCCTTCGGATTGGGCACTGGTAGCCACATAGTGCCTGAGCTCGGAGAGTTCAAGGGAGATACCCTTTCTACGCGCTTCCACTCCAAATAAAGTCTTAGCCACCAACAAGAAAAGGGGATCTCCCAAAAACAGGAACACTACTTCGGCATCCGCGACAGACAACCATTTTGTTCGCCCTGAGGTAAGTCTAATTGCTTAGTAGGCATCTGTCAGACTGACCTCCGATTTCGCCCAGTTGCTGCGCCGCACTTCTGGCAGCCCCAATCCCATTTGGAGGGGTACGAGAAGCTGTCCATGACCTGAATGCAAGCAATGCCCATCCTGGGGGGATTGGAAGAGGGAAGCGAAGAGGGGGTGGGTTGCCAAAGGCAAGCGCAGTCCACAGTCCACTGAACAAGATGTTGTTACCTGAACGCCAGCCGCTTGTCCATCGCCAGCTGCAAGTTAAAATCTGCACAAAACAAGTTCGCTTGGAATTGCGGAGGGGAATTGCCCAGCATATCAAGTGATCCTACCATCACTCTCCCGCGCCCAACGTCCCAAAGCCGCGCCAATTGTCTGCAACTCGCCAGCGACAAGTCTCAACCAATATAGATCCTCTTGCCGCTGGTGCCCTCTTACTCAGATCAACGCTCATACACGAACCAAAACCCACCGAACCCCCGTAGGCAAAATGCTGCAGAAAAACAGCCCAGACGCAATGCAGCTGAAGATTGGGCGCTCCAGACATCTGTTTGGTCGCTGTTCTCTCTCTCTCTCTCTCTCTCTCTCTCTCCAGCATCCTCGAGCAGGTCTCGCTCGTCCCAGGTTAGGGATGCAAAAACCAGCCACTGGCACAAAAGGCTCATTCAATGTCACCTTGTGTTTTTGTCGCATTCGGGTCGTCTGGGTCAGAGAGCTTGGAAAGCTGGGCTTTGTGCCACAAGACAAGAGGAGGCCAAAAACTCTCCTCCAGCGTCTGGGGGTTCAAAGCAATCAAGCCCCATGTCAAGAGACACAAGCGATTATTCAAGCTGCGTTTCAACCCGGGTCGGCCCAACGCTGCGTGCTTTCTTATGCGCAAACAAGGTGATGTTAAAACCAAAAAAAAGGAGTTGTGCAACGACCCAAGCGGGCAGGAGAACTCCCATTAAATTGGTGAGGTTTCTTTCGTCTGTCTCAGCTCCTGGCGCGCAGGGTGCCTGGCAGGGTCACCGCGCCCTCAAAGACCCCATGCTGCGAGCATCGCCAGCCTAAGATCAGGTCGCACAAATCAGCCTCCCCCTTGGTGGTTTGGAGCCCGGTGGCTTGGTGGTTAAGGAGGGATGTCCCATCCTGGTGGGTGGCTTAACTAAAGGTCACCTGAACAAAGGGATCTCAACGTGGGGTCGAAAAAACGAGTTCAGCTTAGGGGACCCTTGCGGATGCTCACCGAATGATTGGACCATTGAATTTGGCAACATGAAGCTACAATACTTGATCTGGAAGGGGAGACACACTGTCCATGCAAAATGTTGCTTTTTACATATGTACCTCTACTCATTCAAACAAATCTCCTTAATTGTACTTCTAATTTAACTTGCGCACACTGTGCCTTCTACTTTCCAACCGCAAAAGCAACAGAAACAACCAGGAACGGTGTCCTTTGAATTTGAGGCTCGTAAAATCGTGAAAGTGACGGCTTTCGATCCCGGGAAAGGGGGGAGCCCATGTGGACCGGGACCGAAGAGGAAATCCGGTCGACCCCCTACAAGCTCTCTGGCGCGTTGGAAAAGGACCCGATTGCAGGCAAGGGGCAAAAGAACCTGTCTGTGCAATTCCTGGCTCTGCAAAGGCCGCAGAACCAGTCTCCTCAGGGAGGCAGCTAGCTTAAATTCAGCCTGCGCAACCCTGCGGCAATTGGCAACCAGGGTCCGAAGCCAACAGGACTCAGCGGAAGCACAAGCACAACCGCGACAGCCACAACCACAGCCGCCACACCACACACAACGACGACGATGGCAGGGACGACAATAACAACAATGACCACAAAATAACAACGATGTTTCTGATCCAACTGCTGCCACAGCAACAAACGACAATGACCACTGCCAGCCAACCAACCAACCAACCAACCAACCAGCCAGCCAGCCAGCCAGCCAGCCAGCCAGCCAGCCAGCCAGCCAGCCAGCCAACCAACCAACGAACCAACGAACCAGCAAAGAACAACAACACAGAAGCAAAAAAAAGCAGGCAGGCAGGCAGGCAGGCAGGCAGGCAGAAAGAAGGAAGACAAACACATATGCAAACAATCAATCAATCAATCAATCAATCAATCAATCAATCAATCAATCAATCAATCAATCAATCAATCAATCAATCAATCAATCAATCAATCAAATCAAATCAATCAATCAATCAATCAATCAATCAATCAATCAATCAATCAATCAATCAATCAATCAAATCAATCAATCAATCAATCAATCAAACAAACAATATATCAATCAATCAATCAAACAAACAAGCAACAAAGCAAACAACAACTAGCAAGCAAGAAATGCAAACAAACTGACATCAAACAATGCTGCACAGCTACGGCCCACACACCCACACACACACACACACAGTCAGAACTTCAAGACAACGATAGCACAACAACGCCATGACGTCGTTGTACAAAAGCAGGCCCCCCCCCCGTGTACACTCCCTCAGACTAACATGGAAGCTCCCAGGACTTCTTGGGAAGACTTGGTTCCATTTACAGAGGCCTTTTGGCAGCTTCCATGTTAGGCTGAGGGAGTGTAAACGAGGGTCCAGCCACGTCCTGTCCAAACCTTACTTTTGATAGACGCCCTTGTGCGCTCAGAGAGGTCCAGTCCTGCTCTGGGCATCATGCTAGACCCAGGGCCGAAGAAGATGCGCAGCAGTTGGCCTCGACAAGCTCTGGTTGCACGCAGCCCAAGCTCGACGTTCTACCAAACACGCCCAACAATCCCAAGCGCAAGCGAAACCTGCACAGCCTTGCGCCAGTTTGCGCGGCGATTGCAACTCAGATCGCCAATCGAGAGCGGAAAACCTCTGGGAAATGCAGGAAATCGTGGAAAACATGTGCATTCGAGTTGGTCCTCCACCGGGAGTTGGCCCCCTTTGGGGCTGATGATTCAATCGTCCTCACCCAGCGCAAGGTCTGTGAAGAGGTTGTTGCCACTTGCCACCTTCTTGACCTTCCCCTTCTCGTCGGCATCGGCCATGAGCTTGCGCCAGTGGTTATGGGTTTCATCCTCAGCACAACCAGCGGAACTCACGCCCAGGCCCCTGGAGGCCATACCGAGAGGGATTAGCATAGGGTCACGGCTAATTTCCCATTGCATTTCCTCACAGAATAGATCAATTCCAACCACAACAAATAGCTTCCCAGCCATATAAAAGGCAAAGTGGGCACTGCTCTCTTGAAAATACACATGGAACCCAGAAAGCCCTTCTCTCCTTGTGGTGGCTGTTTTCAGAGCTTCTTCTGTTCTTGATGTGGAGTAATGCTCGCCCAAGCAACGTGATTTCAATATGTTTTGCCTCGAGAATGCTCTCCGGACCATTTTTGGTTCCACGTAGACCAAACATAAGCCGCTTCTGCAAAAGAGCTTCGACCACCCTCCTCGCGAAGGCGGCGCCCTGTGGCTTGCCGCCGCAGCCGAACTTGTTCTCCTTCTTGCCATCCGCCGTCTTGTACCTAGACCCCCGCGCAAAGAACCCCAGAGAGGGCCCAACGCCTGGGCTCCAATTTTCTTCACTCTGGTGGAAGTCCGTGCCAAGTGGAGGAAGCCGCTTGCTGAAGGCTCTAGCCTATCAACAGCATGTTTACAAAGCAGGACCGCTTCCCTCTCGCACCGACTCGGTCATGCGCTCGTCTTGGCATGCTGATTGCAGGGGGAAATAGATCAACAGGGGCACAATTAGAGAGCCTGCTTGGTGGCTAGGCGCAAGCGCAGCCAGTCTGTCAAGGCTGCAGTCATGCCCGGGAAATGCGCATCGACGTCCCCGAGGTCATGCATGTTCCTCAGACGTCCAAAGAATGGCAAAGCCAAACTGTGTGGCAAGGCCTTGGGAAAGTTAGATAACTATCTGCTTTTTGATTCAGGGAGGGGGGTCAAGGATGTAGTGGCTACTCACACTAAGCAAAACCCGGAACATTCGCGCATTCCAAGTACGGCAAGGACGATCCTGAAATATTTAATAACTTGTTCGGGGAATCAAGTCTGGCACAGGAATGGTTGCATACAAGCATCTGCGCCTTATCATCATCCATGGCGATGGTCAGAACTTTCCAGTCTGTCTCGTCATCGTCGATCATGGCAATGACCCCCAAAATCCTATGAAAGAAGCCAAAGCTAGTTCAAGACATGTCGCGACAGTCAAGGGTGCGCAACGCAGCAACTGCAACATGCTAGAGCATAAACAATATCCCGCCATACACAATGGGCGATATCATCACACTCTGGCGAGGAAATGCTATGTTTTGTTTGCCACTAGCCCACGGGGAGTCTTACTCATCAATAAGTATATGACGTACTCGCTGTTCTGCATGCATCTGCACCTATGCACGTACGTACATACACACACATATATATATATATATGTATCTATATATACATATGTAGATATATTCGTACATATAGGTATGCATGTGTGTGCATATGCGTGCTGCCCTTCTTCCCTCATCTGGGTACAAGCTCACGTAGACTTAGACCCGAGTCGCTTTACGCTGGTGATGGACCCCACTGGCCGCTGCCGGGAGCCCAACTCGATGCAATCCACCGGATCCTCAGAGCATCTGAGGTCCAAAACGGGACAACTGGGATCAGCCATATCCAAAGCAGTCAAGGGCCAACATGTACAATTGGAGCTTCACCAGGGATTGCCTCTGTTGGAACAAGTTCAACCTCCCATTTTGGTTTAAATAAACCTTCACACGCACATGCGCGCAAACACACAAAGGCAGGCAGAAAGGCAGGCAAGCAAGCAAGCATGCCTGTATCTCGGATAAGACTGCTTGCCCCAACACGGAAAATGTGGGTAATCAGTCACCCCAGGCACTTCTCAAAGAAAACTGTGGACTTATACGGTCCTCTGCTTCTCCGTGTCTCAGCCACTCTCAGTCTGACTCTCCGTCGTTTCAACATGCTGAGTGCAGGGCGTTGTCTCCGGGATATCCCGTGTCCTCCGAGACGTGTTTTGGATCCTCCCAGGTCTGTGGGAAGGCTCCGTAGTTAAAGAGCATGTCCCCCCACTTGTATTCGCGAAGGACGCCGTTCTTCACGTCCTGCTTGATGGGGTTCATCGCCTCGCCTGTTGCGATCCTTGGCACAAACTTGTTTTTCAGGCATGGGCTGTGAAGCGATGGAGCCTTGTTATTGTTGTTCGCTATCGTCACAGGCTTGTAGGCAGTGCGAGCCCCATGCAATATGTGTTAGATAAGATCCATGCTAGCTCCCAATTCCACATTATTGACCAAGCCGGGACGAACAAAAAGCCAAGACGCCAGCTGTGTGCAACTGAGCATCTCATACTTCTTCCTAGTCCACTTTGGGATCTCGCAAATGAAGTTGTAAGAGCCATCCGGGTTGCGAAGAGGGATGTCGTGCCAGGGGGACAGCCGCTGCCCATCACACTCGAACCAAACCCGGAAGCGCCGAGAGCTTGGGTCCCCTTCTGGCACTGATGTAATTTGAGCCATCTTCGCATCTTTCAGACGCGAGTGGAGCACCTTGAAGCGCTGTCGGTATCGCTCATTGGTATAATACCTGCGTGATGCCGCAACTGGCAAATGGCCGGAGCACTAAGTCTTAAAGCTGAAGACGCGATTCATTGAATTTGCCCGCACCAAGATACAAACGACAAGGCAGCTCTTACGTCCGCTGCGCCCACGTATGGTGTGTAACCCATGGCAACATGTGGCAATGCAGGTTGTTAGTTTGTTTGCAGATCCCGCTGCAGATAAGCAGGTAACCAACAAAACAAAACAAACAACAGCTTGTCCAGAACGGTGAAGGACAAGTTGCTGGTCTGGGTCCGTGGAGCTGTCATGCAGTTCGTTCCACCAGCGCATGAACATGTCAAAGCTGATGCAAGGTGTCCTCGGTGAACTGCATGTCCACTTGAAACCAAACGACCTGAAAAACTAGACACCGATTATCCCGAAAGCAACAATGTTGGGGTAGATCTATGATGTTATATATATATGTATATATACACTGCTTCTCTCTCTCTCTTTCTCTCTTTCTCTCTTCTCTCTCTTTCTCTCTTCTCTCTTTCCTCGAGAGAGAGAAAGAGAGAAGAGAGAAAGAGAGAGAAGAGAGAAAGAGAGAAAGAGAGAAAGAGAGAAAGAGAGAAAGAGAGAAAGAGAGAAAGAGAGAAAGAGAGAAAGAAAGAAAGAAAGAAAGAAAGAAAGAAAGAAAGAAAGAAAGAAAGAAAGAAAGAAAGAGAAAGAGACGAGAGAGCGAGAGAGAGAGAGAGAGAAAGAGAGAGAGAGAGAGAAAGAGAGAAAGAGAGAGAGAGAGCAAGAGAGAAAGAGAGAAAGAGGGGAAGAGAGAAAGAGAGAAAGAGAAATAGAAAGAGAAAGAGAGAAAGAGAAATAGAAAGAGAAAGAGAGAAAGAGAAATAGAAAGAGAAATAGAAAGAGAGAAAGAGAGAAAGAGAGAAAGAGAGAAAGAGAGAAGGAGAGAAAGATAGAGAGAGCAAGAGAAAGAAAGAGAGAAATAAAGAGAGAAAGAGAGCTCTTTCTCTCTCTCTCTCTCTGTCTCTTTCTCTCTCTCTCTCTCTGTCTCTCTCTGTCTCTCTCTCTCCTCTCTCCCTCTCTCCCGCTCTCTCCTCCCTCTCTCCCTCTCTCTCTCTCTCTCTCTCTCTCTCTCTCTCTCTCTCCCTCCCTCTCTCTCTCTCTCTCTGTCTCTCTCTCTCCCTCCCTCCTTTCTTTGCAAGCCCGAGCTGCGGGAGTGTACTTCGCGTACTACTTTTCTATCTAAAAATTGCGATTCTCAGGCCGGAGCTGCGGGAGCGTACATCGCGTGCTACTTTTCTACTTAAAACTTGCCATTCTCAGGCCGGAGGTGCGGGAGCGCGCTTCGCATACTACTTTTGTACTTAATTTTATCGAAAAAAACCACAGCGAGAGCGATCCGACACGCACGATCCCCGCAGAGGGTTCGTCGGCCAGCGTGCAAATTCGCACGGCGCCGCAGCGAGCGTGCAAATTCGCACGGCACCACAGCGAGAGCGATCCGACACGCACGATCCCCGCAGAGGGTTCGCCGGCGACGTAGAAAATTCGCACAGCGCCACAGCGAGAGCGATCCGACACGCACGATCCCGGCAGAGGGTGCGTCGGCGACGTAGAAAAGTTGCACGGCGCCACAGCGAGAGCGCTCCGACACGCACGATCCCCGCAAAGGGTTCGTCGGCGAGCGTGCAAATGTGCACGGCGCCACAGCGAGAGCGCTCGGACACGCGCGATCCCCGCAGAAGGTTCGTCGATGTTCGTCGGCCACGTAGAAAGTTCGCACGGCGCCACAGCGAGAGCGCTCCGACACGCACGATCCTCGCAGAGGGTTCGTCGGCCACGTAGAAAGTTCGCACGGCGCCACGGCGAGAGCGCTCCGACACGCACGATCCCCGCAGAGGGTTCGTCGGCCACGTAGAAAGTTCGCACGGCGCCACAGCGAAAGCGCTCCGACACGCACGGTCCCCGCAGAGGGTTCGTCGGCGAGCTTTGAAATTCGCACGGCGCCACAGCGAGAGCGCTCCGACGCGCACGATCCCCGCAGAGGGTTCATCCCCCCAGCGCCCGCCCTGCCCCCGGCTAAGAAAGAAGAAAGAATTAAAGGCTACGAGCTTCGGCTGGGTAAGCTAGGCTGTGTAAGTCAGGCTGCGTAAGCTAGGCTGCGTAAGTCAGGCTGCGTGAGCTAGGCTGCGTAACTCAGGCTGCGTAAGTCAGGCTGCGTAAGTCAGACTGCGCAAGTCAGGCTGCGTAAGTCAGGCTGCGTCAGTCAGGCTGGTAAGTCAGGCTGCGTAAGTCAGACTGCGTAAGTCAGGCTGCGTAAGTCAGGCTGCGTAAGTCAGGCTGCGTAAGTCAGGCTGCGTAAGTCAGGCTGCGTGAGTCAGGCTGCGTAGGTCAGGCTGCGTAAGTCAGCTTGAGTAAGTCCCGCTGCGTAAGCTAGGCTGCTTAAGTCAGGCTGTGTAGTCGGCAACCGCTTTTTTCCAAAGAACCCTTCGCGATGCTTTCGGGAAAAACTAGGGAGCCCGTTTGTAGGCGACGGCATGGTGCGACCCATGCCGCTTGGGCTCGACTTCGATGTCGCTTTGAAGAAATCCATCAGCTGCTTTTGCTCCTCAGCGTCAATGGGCTCGCCCAAGAGGTTGTGAACCTTCACGACATCGCTGACCTTGCAAACGACTCCTCTGCACTTAACTGCATTCCAGTGTCGCTGTCAGCTGGGGTTCGGATAAGGAAGTTGAAGTTTCTCACAAAGGGACCGCAATAATTAACGCACCCCCTACAGTTCTTGCTCCTCATTCCCGCCACTGGCTCTTCCAGATCCATGCCTAACCAGAGCTAATTTTTGTTCGACCCCTCTTGAAGAAGTCTTCCCAAAACTCAAAGGGTGGATGTCGAGCAAGCCCGAGTCCCTTTGTTAATTTGGGAGGACCTGAGATGGAGGGCTTTCATCCACGGAGGAACACAACGCTCCGCACCCCTCTCACTATCTTTCTCGATGCAAGCAGGGCACGGAGATCTGCTCCTTGGAGGACTGGCAAAGCCTTAGAGGTGCTGAAAGTGGAAACGCCCCTCCACGTGTGTATGTGTACTTATTTTACATTTATACATGCATTTGTTAGCCTATTTCATTTGATGCTGTGCACACACGAACTGTGAATTACAATGTCTGGGCTAATCCCGTGTGCCGCCTACGGGAAGCCTATTTTCCTCACTCAGCTGAAGAAAGTCTGAGGCTCATGCGCGCTGCGGAGTGCAACGCATCTCAATGCAGAATGCAGTGTGGTTTTCACACACCCAAAACTCTAAAGTGCCGAAAGCTCAGCACGATGTCAGCGCGCTTCGCCGTGTCTGACCTTCGGTCAGTTGCACGTATGGGCAGCTGAGCCACCGCGAAAACGAAGCCCTCAGTGCCTTATCGCACTTTGTGAGAGCATCTGCGTGCTGATGCTCAGTGGGCACCCAGCGGATCGAGCGCACATCTATGTACTCCTGAATGGACCTCAAATCTACGAAGGTCCGCTTCTCAGAAGTGCGCGGATTCTGGGCCTTGATGGCGTCGTAGAGGCTCTTGCAATCCGTCACCTGAAGTTGCCGAAGGTGGCGGACAGCACGATGTGCAGGTACTCCATCCAAGAGCTCGCCGAAGGTGAGTCCGACGAAGTAGGCCCGGTCCACGGACTTATCACATGCCGAGGCTTCGGCTGCCAGGGTGCTCTTGCAAACCCGGGATGACTTGTTGGAGCACCAGTCGATGATCGTCGCTGGTGTGTTGGCTTCTGTGCACTTGGGGGATGTTATCATCACGATCACCCCTTGCTGTGATGCACACTGCTCAGCGTTCGCCCATGAGGAGTCGGCGTACCCAATAATGACGGTGCTCTCGTTGATGGGCACGTTGTTGAAGGTGAGGCCAACATCCGGGGAGCTCTTGGCATAGACCAGCGCCTCGTTGAGCACAGGCAGGTTCCGTGAGTTAAGGCTGGTCCAGGCAGAAAGGTCAGGCCTGCATTGTGAGCTCAGCCATTGAAGGCTTCCGTTGATGGACTTGGCTTCGGTCTTCTCAGAGGCTGTGGGTGGTTCATCCGGCTTGCGGCGTCCAAGCTTGGACGGCGAGGGTGTGTTGTCGGTGAACTTCCTGAGCGTAACCTTCACCTTGTAGCCCTGGGCGTTGGGGATCAGCGTGATCTCCTTGTTCTTGAAGTCCAAGGGCGCGTCGATCCCGAGTTCCTTCTGGGATCCCCAGGTGAAGAGGTCGATCACCTCCTGCCGGTTGAACTCTGAAGAGTGAGTCATAAGGAAATCGTCAACGTAGACGATGACGACACACGCCAGGCGGTTGCCGATGTGCTTGTAGAAAAGCATCTTGTCCATGGCGTGCTGCTTGAAGTCTGCTTGCAGCAATCGGCGTGTCACCTCTCTGGTCCATGTTCGAGGGGCATTGGCCAATCCGTAGATGTTGCCGCTGACCTTGTAGAGGCGCGCCGGAAAGGTTCCAGCTCTCCTAGTGATCTCGTCCTGGGGCGGCAAGAGGTACAGGTCATCTGGCCGCTCATCAGCATCAGGAAGTCCCTGAAGAAAGGCCGTGGAGACGTCTCCGGCCCAAAGCGTCCACTTGATGCCGGAGTTCTGCACGTTGCCGTTTGCTCCTGCGGCATATATGGCCAACAGGGTGTACTCTGAGACCCGCGTAGGTGTCGGAGAGTCCCTCGAGATCACTGCCAAATCTGGGTCCAAGTGGCCCAATGCCACCACCCGCGTCTTGGCAACCAGCTTGCCGGGAACGCGGCTCTTGTTCCTGAAGCAGGAGCGCGAACGAAGAACTCGTCGCCGCATCGTGGGGCTCTCCAGGATCTTCTGCGCCTCCTCGTCACTGAGGGGTATCACCGATCCCCAACTCTTCCATCCCTGCTCCTCCTTGCGAGCAGACTGGATGTACATCTCAATGTCTGCCAGGGGAAGCATCATGATCTTCCGCCAAGGGATCTCCCGCTCAAGGGCCTTGGCCTCCTTGCGGTTGAGCATTTTCTGCTGTGGTGGTGCATCATCGCCCGATGATGCGTCCTCAGCGTCCGACTGGTTGTTGTGGGTGACGTCAGTCACCAAGACCGAATGGCCTTCGTTGTTAAGCTGTTGCACTGCTGCCGCCGTGAAGACAGTGGAGTGCTTGTTGAGTTGTGAGGTAGTGTCTGGACTGCCGTCCCATGAGAGTGGTGGTGGTTCGATCGTGGGATGGTTGTACGTGAGCATAGTGGAGTGGGTCCTTTTGGATGGGACCGTTGGAAGTGCTGTGCTGTCGTCTGCTATGTCGGTGAGGTCGATGGTCGGTGGTTGTTCTCCTGGCTGGTCGCGAATACCAGGTGGTGTGGATGGTGCTTGGCTTGTTGGGTCGAAAAGGACTGGAGTGTCCTGCCCAGTAATTGATGGTTCTGCTAGTGAGTGGTGTGTAGATGCCGCCGGTTGTGATGTTTGGTGCTGGTCGTCTGGTGGCTGTTGAGCTTGTCTGGGTTGCTCGGCGGTTGAAACTGCTGCTTGTGTCCCCGTGGATGGTGCTCGTGGTGTCTGAGGTGGTGTGGCTGCAGGGGACTGTAGCTGTGATTGTGCTGCACGTAGTGCCCGTGATGGTGTCCTCGATCTGCCGCGAGTGCGTGTGAGGACCTGGGGGTGTAGCTGTAGTTGTTGTCGGGTTGGTCCGAAACGTTGAGGATGGTAATGAGTGTTGTAGGTTGGTGAGTTGATGATCACCTGTTCCTGCTGCACGTGTTGGGATTGTTGTGAGACTTGTGGAGGTAGTTGCTGTGCTGGTGCTTCCTCTACAGGTGCTGGTAAGTTGTGAGGTTGGTGTTCAGTTGGGGGTGCTGCGAGTGGTAGTGCGAGTTCTGTCGGGAACTCAAAGTCGTAGCTGTCCTCCTCCGGGTCATGTCCAGCGGCTCGATGGTCCTCCCACATATCTTCTCGGATGTTGCGGGCGGCGTCGTGAAGGAGGTCGATGTCCGCCTTGTCGGGAGTCCATGACTCAAAGCCGCATGCTGCCCTGACTTGTTCAACTGCGACCTGCATGGTCGTAGTCCCGGAGTGGACCCAAGCCGACTTCAGGTCGGGGTCGTAGCTAAGGAAACGAGCCATGGTCCATCCTCCGCGTTTGCGCGTAGTTCTTCCTCTGGGGTTCTGCCACCTCCAAAACGCGCAAGGTTGTCCAGGTAGAAGGTCTCTGCGGATGGTGGTTGCTGTCTTCCTCAACAAGGCTCTCCGCAAAGCAGCAGAAGCGTTGATCTCTGCAAGGGCCTTGACGGCCTCTGCACGAAGGATTTCTGGCCGGGTGAAGTTGTCGGTCTGTTCGGGCTTGTAGCACAAACTGCGGTCGTCCTGAAGAAGCCCTCCAGGAACGCGGGGAATCTGCCCGAACACGGCCATGTATGCGGGCCTCCCATGGCTGTAGGTGAAGCTGTTCATGGCGTGGACCGAAGCATCAAGAGCGTCTTCGAAGCCCTGAGTGTCGGTCACGGCCTGGCTGTCTATCACCCTCTCAAGAGTGTCTCTGAGGATGCTGTTGCGGCGCTCAATGAGGCCGATGCGCCAGTGCGTCTCGGCTGGTATGATGTCCAGCATGACACCGTGACCTTCCATGTAGGTGCGAAAGGCACCTCCGAAGTTGCCACCCTGGTCGATGCGCAGGTTGTAGGGGAACCCGTAGGGCTTGCACCACAACCATTTGAAGATGTCCTTGGTGGTCTCGGGAAGGAAGTCTGGTAGTCGTGCCGCTTGGTGTAGCAGTGTGGACTGATCAATCACCCCGAGCACCGGGTGGTTGATTCCTTGGAGGTCGCGGCACCAGAAAACGTCAGCCTGGAGAAAGTCTCCGAACTGACCCAAATTGGTTGCTGTTGGGATGGCAGACGGCCTAGGCTGCTTCTGCCTGGTCGTCCTCAAACAGCTATCGCAGTGAAGATGGCGGATGGCCGTGATCATGTGCTCGGAGATGGCTCCCTGCCATGCGAGCATGCGGATGAGCTCCTTCTGAGTAGGGTGCCCCAAGTTGAGGTGCATCCGCGTCACGGCCGACTTGGTGTCCTGGTTGATGTTTGCCGGACAGTTCGGGAACGTCACCTCCGCCCTATTCTGCATCGGAAGGCCTTCTGGTGGTAGTGCTTGAGGTTCCTGGATTGGTGGTTGTTGCTCAGCCTCTGCATCTTCTGGATCTCCGAAACCAAACCAAAAGATACCGTAGGCCGCTGCCTTGCTGAACTTCTGCTTGGGGTAGTGCAAACCGTCAAGAGCTTCTGTCTCGACCTGCGCTGTCCCGTCCTGGTACTGGATGAGGGCACCGCGGTGGCTGTAGTTGATGTCTCGTGGTAGCCGTCGTTGTACTGGGCATCTGGTGATCTGGATCCTGATGATCTTCCAAGGGACCAAAAGGCAGATCTGCTGGTAGAGCGGGTCGTCATCTGGCAAGGTCAGCGACTTCATCGGGGTCGCGTTGAAAACCCGGACTACCTTTTCCAGAGCGTCGCTCCACGACTCTGGGTCCCGAACAGGCTCTTGGTGGAATACCTGCTTGGGCACCAGGAACCGAGTTGGCGTCCTTCGCTGTGCCTCCTGCTTGATGGCCCGGAGGATTGCCTTCACGAGGTTGGCGGGGTAGACAGCGCTCTGTCGTACGTCTGCTCCCTGAAGTGGTGTGCAGTACTGGAGCTGTGTTTCATCCAGCTTCCGTGAGACTGCATCCGCGATGTCCCGGCTGTTGGTCATCCACTGGAAGGTCTTCTTGATCATGAGGCCTTGGCTGTTGACGCCGCCGTAGGCGCCCGAGTGGCCTTGCACGATGAAGACGTCATCGCGGGCTGCGAGCTCTTGCATCCGGGGAAGCTCCCAGATTCTAGATCTGGCTGGGTTCTCCAGCAGGAAGTAGTTGCCCATCTCGATCTGGTCGAAGGCACCGTCGATGGCGAAGTCGACGAGTGGCTCTTGTTGTTGCCGTAGTCGCTGGAGGTCATCCAACCTGTGTTTGCCGCGGTAGTTGAGGTTCTCGTTGAAGATGCTCCAGTGGGTGCATTCCATCGCAGCGATCAGCGTGAGTGGCCTCAGTCTCCACTGTGTCTCTCGCCACTGTCTGCGCTGAGCCGGGTCCAACATGTCCTGACCGTAGAGAAGGTCCACGGGCTGGCATGCCTTGAGGTCGTATTGGTGGGCTCGGTAGCTGATCTCTGCCTGGCCAGCGTAGAGCTCCATGATGTCGACGCGGCTGGCGTTGATCTGCGGTGGTAGCTTATCGTAGACTTGCGTCTCGATCTTGTAAACCTGTGCTGCTTGCCGTAGTCGTCCGGTCAGCCTTCGACATACGCCCAATCGTAGTCGACGCTGTTCTCCGAGTCTGTCGGGATCTCGGATGCTTCCCTTGACATCCTGATGTCGTTGGTGGCCAGACTGATCAGACCCCAGTGATCCGGGTGTTCTGCTTTTGGCCTGGTGGTCGGCTTGGCCGCGGTCTTGACCTTCGCCGCGGGCTTGGCCTTGGATCGGCTCCCAGCCGCCGATGTCGTAGTGCGGGATGTCGGAGGAGCTGTCGGCGCCAAAGGTGGTCGGGTTGATGTTGGCGCCGCCCACGAACTGTCCAAGACAGTTACTGAGGAAGGCAGTGGCAACCGTGAGGAACGCGATGCCGCGACGAAGTGTTCCCATCCGTTCATATCCTGGTTCCATTTCCACTTCCGGCCGCACTGCATGCAAGCGGCGTAGCTGCCGTGCCGATTCCCCGATCTCTTGATGTGTTGATGTGTGCAGCTGCCCGTGGTGGTGTCCTGGGGGTAGCCGCTCTCCGGGAGATAGGCGATCGTGCCGATGGGCTCGGCGGTCTCCAGGTTCGGACTTGCCGTGGGAACAGGCGTCGGAGAAGTGCTCGATGCCGGAAGGCTGTGTCCACGAAGGAACTTCACGGCCTGTCGTCTCCACACCATCGCCCTCTTGATAAGATGTCTCCACCGCCAGAGCCATACTGGTGGTGGCTGGGGCTGTCGGGGCATGGGCGAGACTCGAATTGATGGGTTCACTGAGGCCAGGGGGCTGAGCGGCCATGTGAGCCTGATGCTGCAGTGAATAAACTTCACCGCTAACGTATCCTGACACAACATCATGCTGGTACTGATCATGCTGGTCCCGAAGTTGCTTGGTGCATCGGGGTTGCTGCCCAAACTCGGAAATCTGAACCGCAATGTGGCCGTTCATGATGCAAAGGGGGACCGTAACATTGATCTTGGTGAACTGGGCGGTCATGTTGGTCAGATCAATGATGGTGCCCAGGGATGCCATCAATGGCCTACTTGCCAGCAAAGGAATCTTGGATGGCAGAATGCAGGTTCCAATGAGGCACATGTGGTTGTCCAGCAGTGATGGGAGGTACATGAGGGTGTCCGACACGATCGGCTGGCCCGACCCGAACTCAAACGTCTCGTGCCTTGTGATCTCGATGGGAGCGAGGCCGAACTGCTTGAGCTTGGTCCTTTGCGCGTTGGCCCAGGCGATTCCAGCACATGTGCGTTGGCAGGCTGTGTCCAAGATCATGTACCCGGCAAGTTTGCTGGTATCCGTCAAGAACACGTCAAACTTTGATGGCGTGGTGTAAACCATGAAGGTCTGGTGGGACGTGAAGGGGCCTTGGGGTTCACCGTCATCTTCATCTTCTGCTTGATACCCAAAATGGTGATCCACAAAATGCACGGTGTGCGCAGCCTTCGCGTCATCTTTAAAGCTGCGCGCAGGCCTCTTGCCTTTGGACTGATTTCCGTCCGATGGCTTGCCTCCCTTGGGGCCTCCTTTGGAGCCAGCGGAGGTCTTGCAAACCGCGTCTCCTTGCCAATGACCTTGCTCACCACAGGACGCACAGTGTGACGTCCTCTTGCGCTCCTCAATGGAGCGGCTGCCATTCTTGAAGCCGCGTGCTTTGACGATTGAGCTGAGGCGCTTCGCTGTCACGGTGAGGACCTCGGCGATGTCCGGATCCGTTTCGTCGCCAAAATCGTCCTGATCCTGGTCTGCTTCCGCCTCGGCCTGCTCTGGCTCATCAAAAACCTCTGCCTCGGCCTGTAGGTCAAAGGTCTCGTCGTGGTCCTGCTCCTGGTAGTCCTGCAAGTAGGGCTGTTCCTCGGCGATCGTCGCATTGGTCACCCAGGTCTGGTTGTTGTTGTGATTGCCCTTGTAACCGGGGCGCTCCTTGGAGTGGTACCCCTTGTCGCTGGACTTGCCCTTGTGGTTGCCCTTGAAGTAGTGTCCCTTGCTGCCTCCGGATCCTTTCCCGGCATGATGCGGTGGGCGATCTGAACCGTAGACAGGAGCTGGAGCACGGTGTTCTGGGTACTGGAACAGCAGAACGTCCTTGACCTTGTCGAAGTCCAGGCTCTGAGCAGTGCCGATGAGCACGTTACGTTGGGCATCCAGGGGCAGCTTGCTCCGGTCGAGCAACCTGCTGCCTCTGGCCTCAGCGTCGTACATGGCGGTGACCCTGATGTTGATGGCTTCCAGGGCTCGCTCCACCCGTCGGTACCTGTTGGTGTAGGACCTCATCGACTCCTGGGGGAAGCGGGCGACATGCTCGTAGTCGTGAAGCAGCTTTCGCTTGACGTGGACTGTCCTGGCCTCAACGGCCTGTCGGATGACGGACATGATGTTCTGAACTCCCTCCGGGTGGAAGATGTCATCGACGCTCATGTGCTCGAGCTCCTCCTCCAACTCGCCCCGCAGAGAGCTGAACAGCAAGATTCCGGCCTCCTTCCGAGGCACGTAGCTGCACACCTGGAGCATCCAGATGTCGACCTTCCGCTTCCATTTGCTGAACGCGTTGATGTCGTTCTTGTCATAGTGCCAGGCAGGTGGGACAGGGGGTTGTCCGCCGCGGTACTTGATGCCAGGCACTGGTCCTTTCAGTGAGTTCCAGTCGTCGGTGGAGTGTTTGCGGCTAATGCCCGAAGAAGCTGCTGCTGCCGCTAGCGTAGGTAGGGCTTGGTCTTGCTGATGCTGTCGTTCAAGAGGTGGGTCAGGTTGTCCTTTGCCTCGCCGTCGTCGGCGCGATCGGCGTGTAGCTATCGGTTGGTTGGTATCCGGGTCGATGATGATGTCCTCTGTGATGGCTTCACTCTCTCCACGCTCACCCTCGTTCTGGCTCGCCTCAGGATCACCAGGGCCGGGGTGTTGGTGAAGGTTCTGCGGATTGCCCTTGCCGGTGACTGGTGGTCCTTGAGGTTGGGGCTGTCCATGTGGCATGTAGACCCAAGTACCCTCGGGCACCGCCCGGCGAGTGGGCTGGTTCACGTTGTAGAACTCGGGGAAGTCGCAGATGGTGCACCGCCAGGTGCCTTTACAGGCGACAAAGGAAGGTGAGTGGCACGACAAGCACCGCCACCCGTCATCTCTGTCCAGCCTGAAGGCTTGCGTCTGGTCGATGCCCTTACCGCGAGGTGGATTGGGCTCAGGCTGCATGAAGTCCGGCTGGCCACCAAGGTTGTCCGCATGGGCGTAGACAAAGTCCTCGAAGTGGCGCTGCCGTGGCCTGGGAGGGCTGCCCTGACCAGAGAGCTGAGAGCGGCTCTCGGTCGAAAGCGAAGGGGCCCATCCATGGCCAGCTGCGGCGTGCCGTGGGTCACCATCTGGAGGATCACCAGAGTAACCGCTACCAGCGCTGCGACGCAGCGAGTCCTCCATGGCGGCCCTGATCGGGGCTGCACAGGCAGTGCTCCGCTACCAACTGGGCTAATCCCGTGTGCCGCCTACGGGAAGCCTATTTTCCTCACTCAGCTGAAGAAAGTCTGAGGCTCATGCGCGCTGCGGAGTGCAACGCATCTCAATGCAGAATGCAGTGTGGTTTTCACACAATGAACACCTTGCACTCCCAAAAGGCATTGCCCTGCCAAACGCGCCAGGCTGCTTGATGTATTTGCTTAAAGCAAAAAAATGGGGGACCCCCCGTGAACGCCCCCCTTTCAAAAAGCAGTGCCAAGCAGCAAGAACGCCGGTTCTCACCCTGCCCCACCTCCCCCCCAGAAAATCGAAACAAGGCCCTGCCTCATGAACACACTCTTCATAGCCTTCACCGCCTCTGCAGTGTCCTGCACCACGATGGACTCTCCGGTTTTCGGCTGCAGCACTGTCCTTGGCAATGAGGCACGGATGCTTTTGCTTCTTGTTTGCAAGGGTACCCCCTTTGCTTTTGGTTGCGAGTGCCAATGGGAGCCGCTTTGGTGGTTTTCATCCTGAGGCTCGAAATGCCTTCGGTCTAAATATGTTCCAAAGGAACTTTCAAGTGGCCCATGTGGCCACCAGGGGAACTATGGGAATGAGTTGGGGCAAACGGGGGGCCCGGAGCTTGGCTCCTATCTTTGTTTGCGTCCTGTTTCCTTCACTACTTGAAAGTGACTCAGGCAAATAAATCAGAAAGCGAAATGGGCTCGGAGGAAATCCGTCACAAAGGCCTCGCCCTCTTGCGCTAACCATATTCCGGTGGGTCAAAACCAATTGTGCCATTTTGGGGTAGGTGCACCACCCATTTTAGTCTATTTTAGTGGGGATTGGGATGTTCACTGGACTGGGGGTACGATTTGGGTTTTGACCCATGGCCATATGGAATCTGAATGCTTTGCAGCCCAGGCGCGAGCTGCCCCGACCCTCCCCCTTCATCTCGAAAGCGTTGGGCAGCCCCTCGGCCACAGACACCTGCCGGCCCAGCGACGTCTGCCTGCCCAAGCCTCAGACCGGAAGGATATGGCCAAATTTGGCGCATGGTCACAAGCTGGTAGGGAATGCTTTTAGTTGATGTCTTATTGTTCTGGCCATTTCTGGCCCACATCTTCGCATGACAGGCTCTGGGGCGCTCTTGGCCCTCAAAATTTCCAGTCTGGCGTCAAAGGGCTGAATGTATGAACCCACAACTGAACCCGAAAAATGAACAAGTGCTGCTATAGTTGTGATGGGACTCCTTACAACCCGTACCTCCAATCCCAACAAGCCTGATGATAGCCCTCGTGCATGGCGTATTGCCTGTCTTCATGCGGCTAGCGCCGCACGTCGCACGCGCGTGGCGCGGCCAGCAATGCTTCAACACCCTGCCCTGACCCCGTCTTGTGTTCAGTTCGGGTAAGTCCAGAATACTGTACGCACTTGTGTCAGCTTCCCAAAGGCATCATGAACATAAACAATGTTTCGAGCGGGGCTTTTGAACCTGAAGTGGATGTTTTACCGTTTTTCCCTTCTTGCTCAGTGGAGTCCTGAACTAACAAATAAATGTCCGCAACTCCCCCCCCCCCACCCCGCAGACATGGCCAAAGTGCCAGGGATGTCCTGGTTGAGGCCCTGGCAAGGCATCAAGTTTCCGGAAAAGTGCAAATACTTTGATTCAGCCATCGCGCTGACCTGATCTCTGCCTCTCACCGTAATCGCTCTGCCGGTAGGATGAGATTATTTTCACTTGTCCTCACTCAAGTCCTCTGGGCCCCTAGCGCCCTTCTAGTTGCAATGCGAACCGCATGTCTGCCTTGTCATGGCCAAACAGCCACACATCAACACCAAAATGCGGGGGAATGGACGGTGCTATTAACGTTGATCCCATATTATAATCAAACTTTCAGGGGGGGTGTCCCTGGTTTAGTGCGGAATCTCACTTTTGGAGGGGAACACCCCCCAAAAAATTAATAAACTGGAGTTCGTTAAAAAGGGGGGTGGTCGACATCGAAGCCCCTGCAAAGTGCCGCAAGTCTTTCATGCCTGCTGGAAGTCCATCTTCGCCAGCTTGCTGACTGCCAAGATCATCGCTGCCTCGCGAGATCGAGATGTCCCATCCCTCAGTACGAATGGGTTCCACGCGTTCAGATGGGCAAACTTATATAGGGCGGCCTACGACCAGCTTCCACTTGAAGGAAGAAACACATTTCAAACATCCACGCCTGTCGGGCAAACGCGCAGGCAGTAAATGGAGGATCAGAAATGCAGGAAGAATGAATCCCCTTCCCATCGCAGCTCTTCTCCACCGATCCCTAAAAAAATCACAAAGCCCTGTCTTCCACAGTCCTTGCCATGGACATCATTTGCATGTGGATTGATGTCCATCGACCAGGCAACACAGGGTGCTCCGACCATTGCATTTCACAGCGAAAACCTTGGGAAGCCAACCCAGTTTCTAAGTTCCTTCAAGCGGTTCATCTAAATCTAACTTCCAGGGGATCTGCTCTCTCCGTCAGGCACTCATCTGCGTCTAAGGCGGTCGCCGCTGCGCCCAGGTTGACCAGGGCCGACAGCAAAGAGGCCAGCCTGTCGAAAGGCCCATCCCTCCGTTTGCGTGGTTTTTTCCACGGAGATGACGTTGGTTGTGTCTTGGCGCACCTGAAGTGGGTGTGAAGTGAGTGGCTTTTGAGTGCAATCCAATTGAACCAATCCCGCAAGGCTGCCCTCAACAAAAGACACACCCACACACAAATACAGCCAGGGATGCTGCATGTGCCATGCTCCCACCTGGCTTCCAGTTGGCTGAACCCTTGACAATGACAAGTGAAGTCCGAATTCTGCCAGGCCACGCATCTATTGAAGACTTCTCCGGCAAGGACAGCGCCAGGTGTGGGCTACACACGCCTGCGACGTGCTTTGACTTGAAGCTTCAAAGCATCTGGGTGCTTACGAAAATACGAGTGACTGCTCTTTACGGGGTGTCCGGTTATTTGACCTTGGGCCTCGAATTTCAGAACCTTATTTTGTCTGTGCGCTGCAGGGCTTCTGAACCCCTGAATCCTGATAAGCAGCTCAAAGCATAGTGAATTCTGCCCGCTTTGGAGTTATGAACCCTCCAGACTTCTCTGCAGTCTCTCCTTTTTGCGGATTTAATATTGTTCCGTTCTCGGTCCTCCGAGTGAGTTCATAATGGGTGCGGATTTTTTTGTTTTGTTTTTTTCCGGATTTGTTTGCCTTTTTTGTGTTTTTCTCGTTTTTCGTCCAGGCCAGTAAAATGTCGTTTTACAGCATTTTCTCGCGCGTCAACATCCCCAGCATCGTTTTCAACATCCCCCGCATGTCCGAACAACATCCCTAGCATCACCAACAAATCGTGGGTAACAAAATAGGAAAAGTAGCTGGCGGGTTGACGGGGTCAAAAAAATGATGACTCAAATAGGAGGGCATTTCAGTCCCTGTATTAAAAATAAAATAAAAAAAGTAGCGCCCCCCATGATGTTCGCAGAAGTGATGATTCGAATAGGGGTGCAATTGAATCTCTGCAAAAGTCTAAAGATTAGCGGGGGGGATGGGGGGGGGGGGGCAGCCCCCCTATGATGTTCGAAGAATTGATGATTCAACTAGGGGTGCAATTAAATCTCTGTACAAAATCTAAAACGTAGCGGGGGGGTTGGGGGGGGGGGCGGCAGCCGCCTCATGATGTCGGAAGAAGCGATGATTCAAGTGGGTGCAACGATTCAAGAAAGGGTGCGATAGAATTTAAAAGGCAGCGGGAGGGTTGGCGGGGTTGGCTTCCCCTATGATGTTCGAAGAAGTGCATACATACGACATACATGGATTGCACAGATTACCTAAAATGTCGTATTTTGATTCAATTAATAAGGGTGCAATTCAATCTCTGCAAGAAATCTAAAAAGTAGCGGGGAGGTTCGGGGGGGGGCTGCCACCCCCCCATCTATTACTCTGCAAACAATCTAAACAGTAGCGGGGGGTTGGGGGGGGGGGGGGGAGGCTTCCCCCGCATGATGTTCGAAGAAGTGATGATTCAAATAGGGAGGAACTGGTGATGCTGACGATGCGGAAGCCAAATCTAAAAACCAATGAACGGGTGCCAAAGCCAAAAAGCCCAGACAGGAACTGCAGAGGATGCGAAAAGCCAAAGCCTCCCAAAGCCGCATAAACCAGCGAAAAGCCGCAAAAGCCAAAACGAAGAGGAACTGGGAATGCAGGAGATGCGAAAAGCCAAAGCCAAAAAGCCAAAGCCAAAAAGCCGCCAAAAGCCGCATAAACCAACAAAAAGCCGAAAAGCCCAGAAGCCGAGAAGCCAAGAAGCCAAGAAGCCGAAAAGCCGAAAAGCCAAGAAGCCAAGAAGCCAAAAAGCCAAGAAGCCAAAAGTTGGGACTAACGTCGGCCTGTTTATCTGTTGGCAAGGGGGCAAGGGCAGGGACTATTTGAGACTATGTATAAATAATCAAAAAGCTATTTGAGACTCTTTATAAATGATCGAGAAGCTATTTCAGACTCTTTAGAAGTAAAGACAAACTACGTGAGACTATCTAAAATTACAATACAAATTATTTGAGACTATTTCTACATGAAAGAGAAGCTATGATATTTTTTATGAATCAAGGAGAAGCTATGTAGGACTATGTATACATAACAAAGAAGCTTTGTGAGACTACTTACAAATCAAAGGGAAACTACACAAGACTATTTTTAAATCAAAGGAAACTACAGGAGACTATTTGGAAACTACAAGAGGCTATTTTTAAGTCAAAGAGAATCTATGTGACACCGCTTATAAATCAAAGGAAACTATGTGAGACTACGTACATATCAAAGGGACGCGATGTGAGACTATTTATGAGCTAAAGGGAAACTATGTGAGACTACTTTTGAATCAAAAAAGCAGTTATGTGAGACTGTTCGTAAATCAGAGAAAACTGCTATGAGGCTCCAACAACAAATCATGGGGGGCTGCAATGAGGCTGTTTCTAGCTCCGAGGAAACGTCATCCATTCGCGAACAAAAGCGCGCAGGAGTTGCAAGAGAAGACTGAGGCGCAGCCGATTCTTGGCCCCCTGACACCACTGCTTGCAATTCGTAGCGAAAGCACGACGCGCCTGAAAGCTCACCCCATCACGCCAGTCAAGACAAGCAGGCCCAGAATTGCAACAGCAGCTGTTGCAACACAACCTGGCCCGATGGAAAACATGTTCAAGCCACATGTTGGCTGATAGAGAAATCTGCGTTGGCGCTGGTGGCAACAACGCCAACAAACGGGCTGTCTAAAGCAGGAGTTTGTAACAGCATGAAACAGTTAGGGACGGTCTGGGGTAAAACAAGTTTTAGACATAGCGGAAAAAGGTTCGGGACGGTTTGGGACTATTTCTAGAACAGGTTTTAGACATAGCGGGAAACGGTTCGGGACGGTTTGGGACTGTTTCTAAAACGAATTTAGAAACAGCCGGAAGCGGTTCGAAACGGTTTGGGACTATTTCTAAACATGTGTTTGGAAATAGCGAGAAACGGTTCGGGACGGTTTGGAACTATTTCTAGACATATTTTAAAAATAGCGGGGAACGGTTTGGGACGGTTTGCGACCATTTGTAAGCATGCTGAAGCCGGAACTATTTGAAACTATTTGAAACTATTTGGAACTATTTGAGACTATGCGAAGCGAAAAGTGGCTCTGGGCAGCGCAATGCTTACAAATAGCGGGAAACGGTTTCGATCGGTTTGGAACTATGTCTAAAATCGTTTTAGAAATAGCGGGAAGCGGTTTGAAACGGTCTGGGACTATTTCTAAAACAAGACTTAGAAGTAGCGGAAAACGGTTTGGGACGGTTTAGGACTCTTTCTAAAACAGGATTTACAAATAGCGGGAAGCGGTTCGGGACGGTTTGGGACTATTTCTAAAACAGGATTTAGAAATAGCGGGAAACGGTTCGGGACGGTTTGAGACTATTTCTAAATCAGGATCTGGGAAAAAGCAGGCAATGGTTTGAAAAGGCTTGGGGCGACTCTCAAAGCAGGAGTGAAGTGTTGCAACAGATCGCAGCGGTTTGTGTCTTTTTTTGAAGCAGCACGCCCGACCATGAAGAACCTGGGGCGTTGCCAGGGCACTCACCCACTAGGCGCCCTCCTTCGCCAGCTTGGCAAATTCGTGGGCTTAGGCGGGCTGGCCGGGCCGGGGGGGGAGGCGGGTTCTGCAGAGCGGGTCTGCGGGGAGTGACCGCCACCCTGCCAACCCAGGCTACGACCCAAGTCTCTGGGCCCCTTTGATAAAGTCAGCAAATTTAGAAATGGTTTCGAATAGTTTATCAAAATTTCATAAATCGTCTCAAATGGTTTCCGGAAAATTTAGAAATAGTTTCCACTACTGTTTTAAGTGAGGTTTTGCGTGAGCCCACACACCCGTCAGTCCACGGCTGTCCCCGTCAGTCCCCGGCCCGTCCCCGTCAGTCCACGACCGGTCCGACCGGTCCCCCTCACACCCCGCTTGACACCGTCAGTCCGCCCGAGCCACGGGCAAAGTTAACGCGGCTTTTATGTAGCTTTCAGCGCGCTGCACAGCCTTTCGGACTGCAGGTGGCCGGTGCGACTCCGCGGGCCGCCGGAGCGTTCGCAGTAAGCCGGCGGCCCGCCTCCTGACCTTTCCCATCCCAGCTTGGCTTAGGGCTCTGTGAGCTGCGTGAAGACTGCCAACAGCGCAAGACCAACTCTCAGTGATTCTTCGCTAGGGCAAATACAAGTAGAGGAAGTTGCCACGCAACATGTTGCAGTTAGGTTTGCCTAGGTGGGCATCCAGTCACACTACAAGTCCGCAACCAGATCACTCGCAAACAAGCGGCCTTTGCGTTGGCCAACAAATTGGATGCCTGGCCGGGATCCGAATCCAGAGGCAGAACATAACCTTTTCTTTGTACCATAACCATTGCGTAGCACCATTTGGATACCTGCGCAACCAAAAGTCAAAGAAAGCATGCCCTCGGGCTCGGGTGCATCACATCACCTTACACACTTGATGCCAGTTAACCGAAATCTACAACATTCTGAAGAGAGGCTTTGTTGTGGAAGCAGCGTCTCTGTCAGGATGTTGCCGTGACGATTTTTCAACACGGCGTAGGTTCGGCCACCGACGGCAACGCCCAGCGAAACCTGCATGATGAGACATCACCTCGCGCGGCCACCAAACAACCTCCTTTCCGCCGATTGCGTTCACGTCGGGCCGCCAACTTGAAACTTACTGCAAGCGCCTTCCGCTTCTGGTTGACACAATTGCCACAGGCTTTTTCTGCGTGCCGCACGGCACGCCGCATCGCGATGTGCTCAGCTGCACATCCTTCAGAAGACAACAGCTCAGCGGGTTTGCGATCTTCTTCGTTTTTCGACTTGCCACTGCACCAGCAACACACAAAAAGTACAATGTGTGGCAGCTGTGCCGTGTAGAATGGTTGGTTCAATGCTGACGAACCGTCTGCGCCCACCTCGTCCTCGCAAATCGTTCAATTGGGCAAGGCCCCTTGCCGCTCAACCCGCTTTCGAAATAATTCTAACAACCAGCGCAGACATGACACTTAAGCTTCTGCCCCCCCCATTGCGGAAACACACTGTCAAGGCAAAGAATTGCAGAACTGGGTGGCTCAAGGCGATTTACTTTCTTGCTGTCGCTGTACTCAGTATTCCCTTGCTGTTTGAGAATACCAATGGGAATACCAAATGATACATGTGAATAAACGCACAACCTTCGAAACTGGCTCCGAATAGCTTCTCCAAATTTCAGAAGTAGTTTGTATGGTTATGCATCTTTCAAAGTAGTTACCTCAACAAACGGAAACTAGTTGAAACTTTTTCTATAAATTCAGGAAACGATTTGAAACTATTTGTAAATTACAGGAAACAATTCGAGACTATTTTTACAATTCCTGGGCAATACTTGAAACATTGTTGTGTTTTAATGTTGGGGAAGCTATTTGAAACTATTGATAAATGTTTAGTAAGCTCTCTGAAACTAGTTATAAATCGACGTCTGCAAGCTATCTGAAACCGTTCATAAAAACAAATGAGCTATTTGTTTTTGGACCGAAAGGTCCAAAAGCGCCCAGTGCCTAAAACATGGTTATAGACAGTGTCCATTTGTCTGCCTTCTTGCTCAAATAAGGCACTTACTTTTGCACATACACCAACGGTTGCCTGCTTCTTTTTACAAATAGTCTCAAACAGTTTCTTGCTGTGTTTCTATAAATGGTCTCAAACAGTTTCTAGTTTTTTGTTTTTTAATATATATAAGTAGTCTCAAACAGTCTGGGATTGTTTTTTGTTTTATAAATAGTCTCAAATAGTTTCTGGGATTTTTATAAATAGTTTCAAATAGTTTCTCCTAAAAAAACAGAACTCTGAAATAAACACGCCCACGTTGGTCCTAAGCCAAAAGCGAAAAAAATCCTGGAAAAAAACGAAAAAATCCTGAAATTAATGCCCCTCCATTCATAATGCACATAGAGTCGCTGAAATCAGCTGCGCATGACACTCCCGCCTACGGCCGCTGAGATGGCAAGCAAGGCGATGCCACGTCGCCCTGCGTGAGGCGTGCTTTGGCTGTGACTGACCTGCTTAGGTCTTTGCCATGCCTCTCAAACCGGCTTGCAGCAAAATGCCTGAACATGAATGTCTCACGGGTTGTCAGCCAACTGAACTGGGCCAGCGTTCAACCAAAGAACCGAGCCAAGCCCCAGACCTTTCATACGAGCCAAGTTGTCCCACCCAGCACATACCAAACCCCGCTCGTGCACCTCCGCTTTGCCTCCAACAAACCATTTTTTTCTACATATGGTCCCATTTTTCAGTACACCTTGTGATGCCAAATGGTGTCACGGGCGGCCAAATGCGATCGCTTTCCGCTTTCCGCTCTCCGCTTTCCGCTGCCGTCCGGGCCGCCGGGCTCATGGCGCCCATCTCCGCGCCCGCTCGGACTCGGCCGGTCTGAGCTCAACGGCTGCATTCGTCTCTTCGGACTGCCTACCGCTGCGCGCAGTCTGCGTGAACTTGGGTGGCACGTGGCTGGCCCGCTGATGGGACAGAGTTCGTTTGCTTCCAATCCTCCTTACGCAAACGGACTTGAGAGCATCAAGCGCGTGGTACGTAAGTCTTGGTCCCAACTCTGTCATTTGGGATCATGTCTTCAGTTTATTCGCAGTATAGTCCCTTTGCCCAGTATGCCTATCCCCTCCCTTTGCAGCTTGCAAGGTCAAACAAAGCCAGCGACTGAATTAGTCTCATCACATCACCAGTCCCAAGCAACGCGCAAGCGCTGACTTTGAACTTCCACAAATTTCTTGAACCGCGCCTCCCGCCACTCCCGAAGGGTGAATGGCAAAACGCGATTCGGCGCGCTTTAAAGACCATGCCGCCCTTGCAGCAGGCAACTGTAATGCTCTCCGGACTCTCTCTCTCTCTCACTGGATGGAGCAATTCTTCTTGCTGTCCTCCTTCTCGGGCTCGGCTTCCCCGCTCTGCGGGCTCTGCGTGGCAGGGACGGGCTCAGGCTCGGGGAGGGTCGCCGGAAGGGTCGCCGGTTGGGCCGCCGGTAGGGCCGCCGGTTGGGTGGCCGGTTGGGTGGCCGGCGCTGGCACAGACGCCTTTCGTGAGCTTTTCTGCTCCACAGGAGGACCAAAAACCCGAAATTTCTGGAGCTCCTCCTTTAACCCAGCCCTTTGAACTACAATGGTTAGTTCGTTTCTCTTTGCCAGCCTCAATCAATATGGTTTGTCTCAAACACTTGCGGACCCTTGCTGGGCCCATTAAGATGAGAGTTGTGGCTTCAAGGGAAATCCACCTCACAGCAACCCATTTTGTGACCGGCCTTTGGCGGCTCCAGGACCGAGGCGGGCGGGGCGCCGGTCCAAACGGACGGCGCGGTCCCAGGCGCCGAGCTGGTGGACAGCGCGGGGAATTGCTGTTGGCTCCTTGGCGTAGCCCACAGAAGAAGTCAAGCACTATTGCTTGTAGCTAAGGGGTGCGGCATGCTATGCCACACACTTGAACTTGTCACACATGCACAAGTAATTGCTCGTGTACACATGACAATATATATATATATATATATCTTAACATATATATACAGATACCGTATATGCATTTATAGAATAGACATGCTTTACCTTTGATTTGTTTTGTGTATACTGTATATCTATATAAAACGTCAACTCCTTTGGATTTAGGGAGGCGACCGGAATACAAAAAGAGTGCCAGTAACACTGAAGTTCTCAAAATTCCCCGAGAAGGGGGTGGAACTCTCTGCTGGCGCTGTCTGCGGCATGGTTGGGGGAGCCGTCGACACCTTTGACTGCAGCACTGGGCCAGGCAAAGCGGACATGTCAATGTCCTTGACATCTGCAGCCGTGCCCCAGGTGTACTGGCCACCTGCTCCGCCCTTCTTGGGGGCTTGATGGTAGGTCGAGTATGCCATTCTTGATCTGCGGTCCTTCTCCACCTCCCTCACTGGCCGCGCAGCAGGGGCTGGAGCGGCGTAGGTCACGGCATTGGGGTAGGAGTTCTGGAAGGCATACACAGGCTGCTGCGGGGCCTGGCCACTCATCACTCTGCCCTGCATGGGCTGAGCTGTCATTGGCTGCGCCGTGTAGGCGAAGGTTTGGGTCGTCACCGGTTGTGGGGGGGCCACCAGCTGCGGCTGGCTGGCCATCTGCGGCTGGCTGGCCATCTGCGGAACCGGCGGTCGCTGCGTGGCCATGAGGGGCGGCCGGCTCCAGGCAGCGCCCACCGGCGCGGTCACCGTCCGTGCGCCGAGGGAGGGGAACTGCTGAGAGCCTGGGTGCTACACATGTCTTGGGTGAAAAAAAAGAGAATTTGACAGAATGCAACCTTAAGTTACGAAGAAAATGTCTTTCCCCTTGAGATGTCAAAGTGAGAGAATCAGGCCAATCATGGATGATTTAGAACCCAGGAGCTGGACAGGTTGGCGGTAAACGGGACAGCCTGCTGCTGGACGGTGGTCGGAGGAGCTGCCGTCACAACACCCACGTGCTGCTGAACTCTGGTGGCGTCAAAGTCCATGGAGGTGTCGTGGGCGGAGCCCCACGTAAAAGCACCGCCTGCTCCACCCTTCTTCGGCGGGGCATGCACTGTGGATACAGCCATGCGAGAGCGTCGATCCCTTTCTGCTTCGGAAGCCATGGGGGCGCTCAAACGGCTAAAGATTACAACTTCTGCTTGTCCTTATTGCAAAAGTGCGTGTGCCTCACACGATTTGGGCCAAGCCAAGGGATATTGAGCGAGGCTTGGTTGAAAGCCAAGGCTCGCTGCAAATCGCCTCGCATGTCAAACACCTAGTCAAACCCCACACGCTACCCAGGACAAAGCAACCCTCTTAGTACAGCACGCAGCCACGAAGAAGTGCCCAAATTTGCTTGGACATATCCCCTCCTCTCGACGCGCCTATCAAAACGGTGGCCCCCTCTCCATGTCCTTTTCAGGGAATCTCCTGTTCTGGGCCTCTTCCGGGTCTCCAACTCAACTTGTTCCGTGCTGTCTTTGGGGCAACGCGAGCCCACCTCGCAGCCCCTCTGAGCGCAGGGGGCCCAGGCCCGGCTCCGCCCTCATGCACTTGAGGCTCCCACCCCTCGCGGCCGTCTATGCATTGCCCCCATCCCGCCTCCCACATCCTATTTGCTTTTCTGCAGGGAAGGAAGGAGAGCATCCTTAAAAAGGAACAGAGTCTACGTCACACTGTGGCTGTCATGCCACGGGCTGCTACTTGGACAAGTGCATGGAACATGGGTTGGGCAGCCTCCATGTGTGTTTGCCCTACATGGGGTGAAGGGTGCCTAGCGAATCTGGTAACTGTGTCTGGCTACTCTTGGAACTCGGTAGAGGGACACTGTCAGAAGGTGCAAAAAACAACTCTTCCCTACAGGACCCGGTCAGTGTCAGCCAAACCTCCCGTGCTTCTGGCAAAGGAACTCTGAGTCAGGGAGGACCCCAGGAACCACCGTAGACCGTTTCCTTTTCCCCGGCAACAAGAACAACATGATTTGGGACACATTGAAAGAGGTTTGGAGCGAGCCGGCGAGCCGGCGGCTGGTCCCATGGGCCTTTGCCAGCAGCCCACGGAAACTCCGCAAGTCCCACTGTTGGTGAGAAGCCGAAAGAGGGCCTCCGAGACAATGGGAAGCCTCAGGCTCATAGGTAAGCCCAGGACGACCCCAAAGGTTTGCGAGACGAAGTGCAGGGTCACAATCCTACTTGTGCTGGATAGGGGCGAAACAACTCTCCAAACAAAAAATGCCGCTGCCCGACCTAAAAAGGGAAAATAAGAAGCACATCTGAATGAACGCTGAAAGGCCGAGAACTACGGGCAAGGGACATGTAATTATTCATTCGGTAAGGGCTCAACATGGCTCAACGTACCCCTGGGACACTGCAGTATATAATGCTGACCCTGATTGATAAGACATGGTCTTGACCAAGAGCTCCCTTGTAAGATCACCTTCTCCACTGATCAGCTACACGCCTTGACGCAAATTACCAGGATTCGCCAACTGCAGAATTGAACATCTGTTGCCACACAATCTATGCAATCATTCAATTTCGGGACTATGTTCACCAAAGGGGGAAAACATGCAACACACAGACACACCACTCCGAAGAATTCAACACACCAACCAAACGCACATGCCACCTCTGCAAAAGGTTCACCGCCGAAAGTGCAGACAAAACTTACACCACTCCAGGAAATGCGAGACTTCAGGAATTGCAAGCCCCCGGCCAAACTGGAATGATTTACCCAAACATTGTTCGAGTCCGGCAAGATGAAGGAAGGTCGTTTCAGCACCGAGCGATCTCTCCCGTGAACCGCCTTGAGCCATCTCAAACGGACCCCGGTCAAGCACTCTTACGTGTTTCGATTTGATCCAATCCACAATGACTGATTGCCAAACTTCAATCTCTCTCTTTCTCTCTCTCTCTCTCTGTCCTCTAGCTGTCAAAGTGATACATGCAATGTTAAATGTGTAGATCACCTTCCTTCACACATGGAGCTGAGCAAATCTGGACAATGCTCTTGTCCAAGCAATGCAGATTCCCCGGTAGGCTTGAAAGTGCCTTGTCATAGATAAAAAATTAGAACAATCTCTTCCATTGCCACGAGGGATGCATCAAAGCCAGGCCAGGGACCCTTGCAAACCATCCTCACTTCGGGTTCACCAAGCAAACCACGATCCATCTTTTTGACCGCCCCGGCGCATCAACCCAAGCTGAATTCCGTGTTGCCAAGAAGCAGCAAGCCGGCGCGGTCCAGAATGCGGGCGAAAGGCTTCCTGCGGCGTTTGGTCATGTCACAAGATGTCACAAGCGCTTCTTTTGCGGGGAGGTGTGTCTGGGGGGCTGGAAAACCAAAACGGGCGCCATCTAGTCCAAGATCAAGGAAAGTAAAGGTCCTTCCCTCTTTCGGCGCGACCGTTTCCGTGCCCAGAACTGAAATCTCCAGCCCAAGTGGTCAGCACTTTCAACAGGCCCGTGTTTGTTGTCCTACTTTTTGGGCAGGTCAAATTCCCACACCTCGCTGCCAAACTGAGAACGAAGAAGCCATGGAGCTCCCAAGACATGAGGCCCGGACCTTGGCTGCAGCGGGTGCACAACCAGCGTAATGCCACTGCCCAGTGCGCACGCCTGCGGGACGGGACCACACGCCCGGGACAGCCTGACAGCTTGCCCATGCCCCCCCTGGATGCAGGGGTCACCAACGCTTTCTTCTCCAAGGTGGTTTTCCGATTCTGATTCCAGATTTCAGGCTGTTTTTTTTGGGTCGAATACGCGTTGACCTCTTTGTGGGTGAAACAAGAGGGTCAAGGGAATCCCATGCAAAAGCCGAATATTTGCTGAGCAACCCAGAGATCCCTCTCAAATTGCTCGCAAGACGGGAAATCAGCTGACTGACCAAGCTCAGGAAGGGAGGACGAGGAGGTTCGGTTGATTGAAAAGCAGGGTTTCCCTTGCCCCCTACTTGCATTTTTCCAGGGCATACGTTTCCGCGAAGAAATGCAAGTCCGTGGCGGCTGGCCCTCGCAGCTTTTCCCGCAGAATGAATAACTCACGAGCGGCATAAGCATGGGTACCCTGAGGAAACTGAGCATCGCCCACCCCGGAAATACCTGTCCTCCTCAAACAAAAGGAAACTCATACTGACACTTCGCCTCAATGACCCCTGAAACAGGTCGGCCCATCCGCTTTTTGTGGTTTTAAAGTCGGGTCGCAAAAGCAAACATCTCCCAGTTTGCCTGCCGGGCACCCTGCATAAGCTCACCTGCTGAGGTGGCGATCCGATCAGCAAAAGGGAAGCCATAGGTGCCGTTTCTGGGAAAATAGATGGCCTTGGTAGTTGATTGAACCACCAGGCCAACCAGGGCCCTCTATGTTTCAACCAAATCAACCCAAAAGGACACCTATGGAAGCCATCCTGAAACAAACCGAGAGAGGTCCCTTGACATGATACTAACATGGAGATCCAAGGATGCCAAATCGACAGGCAAGTGAATGGATTGTGGAGCGCACTCCGTCCGGCTACGTGCTGCGCCGGCGGTGACACATGCCAAGCCATCCAGCGGCTTAAAAGCCGAGACCTTGGAACGTGGCAGAGCGATGGGTTGCCCGTTCTTACCATGGCAGGGAAGTCAATTTTCCGGCAGATCTGCCATTGCTTGCCTTTAGACTTTGGGTGCATCCCATTAGCGGATTCAATCTTCGTTCTTCTTCCGGTCGTCGAATAGCTTCCAGCCGCTTGACAAAGGATGGTTGGGGACTGAAAAGACAAAACGATGCCGAGAAGGACGACGGCGACAACGACGAAAGGACGATGACGACAAGTTCTACCCAATTCAGGGCCATTGCGCAAAGAAACAAGCATGATTGATGACTAGGAAGGTTCTCAATCAAAGGCCAGAAAAAAGCAGCTCGACTTGCTTGGCGTCTGAATGGAAGAGCCAACCAGCTCATCTCCGGCAACTAAAACAGGCTCAAAGTTAGCAGGCTGTTTCCCATCCACGGCACCACTAACCGGCAAACACAATATCCCCGCCGCAGCAAGCCGAAAATACAGGCTGTGAACAAATCTCCCGATATGTCATTTTATCTTGCCGTGGCATCTTCAATTCACTTCCTCCAGGCAATCTCAAAGCAAAACACCGTGACAAAAGTTGCGATATTTTTTGAGGTTTGGCAATTTCCGGGGATGCTGTCATAGTGATGGGAGTCCCACTTCGGAAAAACTGAAAAGTGCCCATCGTCCTGCCGAGGGGCCCAGCCAACCCCAACGGGGCCGCTCCCCGCGGTCAGCCTCATCCTTCATGGCGATGCGGCCATCCTCCATGATGGCACCTCAGTGGCTGAAACCTGGGTCCTCCGTCAACCCCCCTGGAGAGCCTGGAGTTTATAGCGAACTTATCAGGTTACGAGACACCGACCCAGCAACCCCCCATCCGTCGTCTGTCGCACGGTCGAGTTGTCCACAATATCAAGCTGCCACGGCTCACAGCCAGAAAAACAAGTTCCAGCTGATTCGAAATGCAGTACGCAGCATGCAGCAGACTAATACTATGTAGGACTTCATTGCTTGGAGCTTTCAAAGTACATGACCATGGTGCATACAGCTTTTTCCCAGTCGTTCCTACCTGGAGTGGTGCCCCAGCTTCCACACTACCCGGTCACTACCCTTCTTTTGTGGCGGGGCCTCTAAACATGTCGGTTCTTTGGGTGCATTTGGGTGCCATGTTAAATTCAAACAACTGCTCCGAGTACTGCTCTCCCGTGCCCCAAACTTGGCGAGCGCCGCAGCCAAGCAACGCTTCATTTCGTCAAAATCCACATCTCCATCATGGTTGGAGTCCATGCTGTCCAATACCTGTCCCCCACATCCGCTAGTGTGTGAGCCGCCCAGAGGAAAACATGCTTGCTTGTCGCTTGCCACAAGTACCTGCAAATCAAAGCTAGGCTTTTTGGGCCACCATGACTGAGGACCAACACCCGTTAAATCGAACCCAATGCTGAGGCTTGTAGTCAGTGTTGCTTCTTGCTCCGGGAGCATCAACCCTGCGGTCAAGTCAGCCAAAGGCTTCTGTCCGGGGTTGGGCAAAGCGCCTGCTACTAACTTCTTTCTTGCCTAAGCATCAACTCATTTAGAATTTCCCTTTACAATGCGTCCATCTGGCCAAACCAAACTTGTCACCACCCGGGAGAAACCAAAAATCACCAACAGGTAAAGTTGAAATCACCCTGGACAGGTGAAGTTAAATTCACCCTACAACAGCAAAACTGGGACCCATGTTGGCTTAACAAAACCTGACTCCCCAAACGGTTTCCGGGCGGTTTCCGCGTGCGCCTCGTCCACATCCTCGTAGGTGCAGTCGAAGGCGTCGCTCTGGAGCATGGCCCGGAGCTCGCTGCGGCTCAGGCGCCCGTTCCCGTCCTTGTCCATCCTCGAGCAGGCTTAAAAAAGCAGTGAATGTGTTAGTCTCAGAGTCTCTGATTGAAGGGGGCAGCCCTACACGTGTTGCAAACAGGATCTGGCATAGAACCCCTGTGCTAGAACCTGTTTAGGGTGTCGGAACAAAAGGAACACATATTTTGAGAGGAAACTGAATCCATGTGTGTTTCATGCGAGTATATGTGGTGTGGATGAAAGCCTTCTATGACTTCACGCTTGATCTTGAAGACCACTGGTGTTGACCAAGTAGCTAGCGTTGTATCCTACTTGAGCTACTCCACGTTGCTTTCACAAAAGGGAATGTGATTTTGCTAGTTGTCATGCAATAGAACAAAAACACTTAAAGGCAGCCAAAGCTCACGCATGGCACGAATGGCGGGGGACAAGCTGTCTGGAGAACTGTGGGGATTGCTTATTGAGATGCTGGGGTCATTCCAGCTGATCCCCCCGCGCAAAACTTCAGGAACGGGAAGACAAACTGCATCGTGACACAGTACGCTAAACAGCCGTTCAGCTCCCGTCCTCGGGCTAGACAGTGAAGTTGCTTCATGAAAAGGGGAAACCTGCTTTAAAGGAAGCGTTTGTTTTTCTTCAAAAGGCGTTCATTGGCTTTCAACTGAACTGGTATGGCATGGTACGGCATCATATTGGCACGCCCAGTAACCATGCGCAGTCACATGACATGGCATGATACGACGTGGCATGTCATGGTCCATCGAGATGGTGCACTTCCTGCGTCCAAGTGGCTCATTGAAGAGATTCGTCACCAGCCTTGCTTCAGAGTCACGTACTGTGGCAACAAAACAATTGTCATGAACAGCACCTGCCCCCCGTTCCAGAAGAACCAAATCGTGTGTTCCTAATAAGCAAATACTCGAATGGTGGTACTGTTGGAACCCCCGATGTCCCTGACTGACACGTCGCGGCCCCCAGACACTGGACCCACAAGTTGACATTGCCCTTCGCCATTCAATTCATGGCAAAGGGGCAAAAGCAATCGTAGGCCTTTGCCCTTTCCATGAGATGGGCCCCTACTTCAGTGTTCCCCCACTGGCTGCAGAAGGCCGGCCTGAAAGAATTGGCGGATGCTGCTTGGTTCCCGTGCCCTGTCTGGCGATGTCATTCAGCCGCTTTGGACATGTGGGAATTGTTCTGCCCCCTCAAAAACCGGATAGCAAGAAAACAAAAAAATGCTGACCTGCTCGCCCGAGCCTTCATGACTCATGACCCTTGCTCCAAGCGCGGCCAAGGAGCTGATTGCTGCGCTTCTCCTTCTCCTGGGGGCAATCAGACAAGCGCAGGCCAGCCCGCCCACAAGCAAAAACAAAAAGAGCTGCGCACAAACAACTTTAGAGGTGGAAGTCAACCACCCCTCATCTTTACACGTACCCTATCCCAAAGCAACTTCCGAGGTGAGTCAGAAACTGATACCTCAAAAGGCTTGCTCTGCTTGGACGGGACAACAAGCCCAGGCCCTGTTATGAGAAACGCGCATAGCCGACCACTGGCCATGCGCATAGCGGGCTTGCCTGTCTTGAGTAAGTCACTCAGTGGGGAGCCAACCGGGGATGTGTCGAAAAGACCGGAGAAGGGCCGGAAAAACAGCAACTCCATCATTTGATTGTCTGTGCACCTTGGCTTACGTTTAAGGGTGTAAGTTTGAAACCGACCGATCGGCTCGTTTTTGGTTCCGTGCCCACTCCCAAGGCCTGCATGACCTCATTCAGAAGCTCCGCATGCTGCACATACGGGCCCTGCGTAGTCCGGAGCGGTCCAAAGACCCAACCGACCAATGCGCGACGCTTTTTCAGTTAAACGGGTCTCTCATCTCTGGCGCTGCAGGCAAACAATTGGCGAGCAAAAGATGGTCCATGGCAAAGATGCACAGTATTTTGTTCACAAGTGGGACCCAATTTTGAGACACGCATTTGGCTGGTGAGTTTACAGAAACGCCTGAGCCACGTTTTCCATGAAATTGTTGAGGATCTCCTCCCCGACGCCATACCCCGCGGCCACTTGCCTGAACCTTGGATGCTGTCCGTGCTTGGAACACAGCAGCCACTTGTTTGAGCCACAAAACCCAGAAACGAAAGCTGCGCCAGAAGCGTTTTGTCTGACCCAAGGACCACACATGCCTTCAGGCGCTTCCTGTGGATAGCTCCTGGCTGCTTCCGGTGCCAAGCAGCTTGGCACTTGTCACGGGCATATTGGGAGGCGCCTGCGAGCCGTACAAATCACATGCCAGCTGTGACAAAGGACCACCGCGCATGCTGAGACCAAAAACCCAAATACTAAGGTGTAGCAAGCAGGTCTTCTTTGCGACTGCCACAGAAAAGCAAAGAAGCAGACCGTACACGAATCTTTGGACCCCTCACAGACAGCAACAAGGATGCTCCAACATGGCCTTACCTTATCCAAAGCCGAGAGGTTTCGACGGGCCAAACTAGGCCCACGACTTGGGGCCAGCCTTGGGACCCGCAAACATTTCCTCAAGTTGGGACTGGGATCAGTCTGCCGGTGGGACATAGGGCCAAGCATGGCCCCAGTGGCTTCTCAAGCGGCCGGAAAAGGGGCCATTTGGCATCTCTCAAAAGTAAGCTGAGCCCTTCCCGTGTGCCGTGCCGTCCGTTCGTGCCCAAGGCACTGGGCCACCCTCCCGCGCCAGCTGGTCCAGTCGCTGGCGCAGGGAACGCCTCAGGCGGGCCTCCGTGCTTCGCCTTCCCCAAGCCCCATGCATCAGCCAAAAAAACCGCGAGGGCCAGAGTTTGACCCTTAAAACTTTTTCCAGTCGGTGCAGAACTTAAAAAGACCAACCGGAAACCTCGCCAGCTCGCCAGCTGTGCCCACGGCAAAAACCCTGAATCGATCCCATTTGAAGTCAAAAATCGGGCATTCCAGTTTGCGGAGAATCGCACCCCATGATCGAAAGCACCACCTATTCCTTTGCTCTGCTGGGAAATAGTGTCGAAACGAGCAACTCTGAACATGAGGCCTTTTGTTTTGGGGCTTTGGGGGTAGGTCCCTCACTTCCAGCCCACGAACGGGTAAGTGCCAATCCGCTTTGCAACCTGGCATGCCTCCTCCACGGCCTCAAGCAAGTGGATACAAAGACATGTTGGATCCAATGGCACTGTCCAATTTGAGTCGTGTTTGGGACTCCCAGGTCCCAATGTCTATCTGCAGTTGAGGTGCAGCTCGCGCAAGTTGCAAAGGGCACACAGCTCGTTCACCAAGTCACTCCTGACATACTTGTTGCGGGCTATCGCCTCTTCTGCTGAAGAAACTCCGGCTTCTTTGCCACACAAATTGTACGGCAAATCAGCTTTGTGGTCCGCCTGCTTCTCAAATACTTCTTGGCACACAGGGACTGAGGTTGCATGCCTACAAATGAACCTGGGTATGACACACCTTGGGAACAACGTCAAAGCCAAGGCTTTCCGTGCTCCTGCAAACAGCCGCCTTTGACTGGCCCACCTCAGCTGTGGCTTAGCGACTCGGTCTGAACATTCAAGGGCCTGGGTTCCACTCCTTGCTACTCCTCCCCATCCACGCACCATTCACTCACCCAACCCCGATCTCGACCCAACCAATCCCGCAAGTAATCCCGCACTAACCTCACAAGCTCAAATCACATGCTGAAACCTGCAAGAAGCCGAAAGGCTGCTGAAAGCACCCAACATAAGCCGAACAGAGCGCGGCTTTCCCAAGGCCCGGAACTCCGCTAGCCGGGGCGCCATTCGTGCCAAGTTAGCCGGCGGCAGCGATGCATCAGAGTTGGAGGCAAACCATGTGTCCTGCCGCTTCAGCCGCCATTGTGTTCAGGGTCTGGGTGCACTCTGGGTGCGGCGTTGGGGCCAGCCTGTTTGGGCCGCTGGTTTGCCAAAAGCCGCTCGAACACCGCTTGGCTGCCTGACTTAGAAAACAGCTCTCAATGCCATGAGAGCTGGGTACAAATCAACGAGCCACATGAACACAGATTTTATAGGACACGGTCCAATAGCCAACGAAAGGATTGCTCAGTAAGCTCAGTCATCTGGCAGCCAGTGAAAGGATCCTGAAACTTATTCCAGGAATCCAACATTAGGCAAACTCGCCTGGACAGAAACAGACCTTCAGCAGGCGGTCCTTCAAAAGAGCTTCCGCGCGCGGTCGCAGAATCTTCCTGAAGCGGGGGGATTCTGGTACTTTGAGAATGCCACCGCCCGTCTGAAATATGACAGCTTTCCAATAGGCGTGCCATGTGAAGGCGCCTGGTGCCATTTTGGGCCGGCTCAATTGCCCAACAAAGGCCCGAGTAAGACGGACCATCCCAGCGTCAGCACAATGTGTGTGTGTGTGTGTGTGCGTGTGTCACGCCCAGCTCAAGTTGATCCACACGATCGCCAACGTTCCCCACACGGCAAGCAAACCGTGCCGCTCCCGGCTAGCTCAGGCTGCCACTGTTTTTGCAGCATGGAGGCAACCAAGCCGCCAAGCTGTCCTTGGCGATCGCTCAGACGCCACAAGTGGCTGGGAGAGGCACAGGGGCAAAGTTTCGCCCCTCGCCGTGGCTTCCTGTTGCTGTTGGCCAGACTTTACATGCATGCTCGCTCACGAAAGCGTCACAGATTACATGTCAAAGTGGCATTCGGGCTTCAAACCATTTCACAAGCTGGTGCTGACGCTGGTGTGCAAAGAAGAAACCACCCTCTCAGGTTTATGCAGACCCCGACGGGAACCACCCCCTGCGCTCGGCCGAGCCCCCCCCCCTCCCCCCCGACGAGGCGCGCCATTGGGCGGGGAACTGGTGCCACGGGGGTGGGGCATCGCAGGTCACACGGCCGATCTGCTGCAAGTCCTGGGCACAAGGATTCCCTTGCTGGGCCAAAACAGCCGGGCTCATAAACCCACCCGACATGGGCAACCAACAGAAGTGATGATTGAAATGCCTCAGGGAGGTAAACCCAAAGATGCTCCAAGGACCTGAACATTTGGATTTACCTGATGGCAATGACCAGAAGTAAGACCAAACTGTCAAAGTCGGCTTTCGCCAAATGACATGTCCTAAAGGCGACGACTTCCCAACGTTTCAAGGAAACAAGTTAGGTACTGCGAGAAGAGCGTATAAACAATAAGTTTCATTCAGATCTGGTTTGAGTCATTGAGTCGGAGAAACTGGAAACTCTTCGCCCACCCAACCCCCCCTCCCACCCACCCGCCCGCAAGCACGCAAACGCTAATCCTCTCCAGAACCTGCCCCAGGGCCCCAAACCCAGGATTGGCCAACAAGCCCGCCGTGAATTGCCGTTCAATTTCGCGCTGCGCTTCCTTGAGAAACCAACTCCCCACGCCGAAGCTTCGGCCACTTTGCCGCCGCGGAGCCGCGGCTTCCTGGAAAATGCCGCGCTTGTCACCAGTGGGAACGCGGCCGGCCAGCATTTGGAACCACACCACCTGAGCGAAGCGTTGCATGTTCTCCAACCTCCTTTTGGCTCTCCATGCGAGCCACCTGTAGAAAAGGGCATGACTTGGACAAATAGGGCCCCGAATGGTGCCAACACAACAAACTCCTTGCAGGAATACGCACGAGCACTCTGAGATGATTGAACACAGTGGCCACCTGACTGAAAGTAACTTACAACACATCGACAGGGACTTGGGAGGGGCCTGGGACGAGCTGAAGTGCCTGTGCGGAGAGTTGAACTGAGACAGGCCCATGGTCTTCGATGTGCAAACTCACTTCACTTGATACTCATGCTTTCCCTCAAGCCAGAATTCCTGGAAGTAGCTTTCCCCGGAACTCCAGTGTGTGGCACAAGGGAGTCTGCGTAGCACTTAGTAGGCCGTCTCAGGTACCATTTGTAGTAGATACCCCGAAAGAACGTGCCCAAAACCTTAAGCGGGCCCCGGGTCTATCACTGTTGAGGGCCCCCATCCTCGCATCCATTTCCATGCCATGTCAGCACAGACTCCCAGCCCTTCTCTTGTGCTTCCAGGCGACGCCCAAGCTGAAAATATCACCGCTGGGAAACCAGACCTGCGCGCAGCATTCTGCTCCCTACATCATCTTCCTGAGCCAACCCAAACCAAAAAGTGAGCCCCAGGGTTTTCTTGGCATGGAACTTCCTGCACAAAATAGAGACCTCTAGCCTGGAAAGCTTTAGCTTGCCAGCCTGGAAATGTACAGGAACCCTCGAGAGCCAAGCGAAAGCAACCCCGAAGCACCTGCTCCTGCCATGTCTCAGGCGGGATGTAGCCAGGCCTGAGGCATGGGATGCTGGCAGCTTTTTCAGTAAGAACTGAGGCGTCGCGAGATAATGAAGGCTTGGAAAACATGCGTGTTGAAGCCGGCCCCTCTCAAAAGGGCGGCATCACCTTGGCCAGGTCGCGCAACATCCAATTTCAGTGTCGAAATAAGGGGGCCGAATGAAGGGGCAGGCAGATGTTTGGCCTTTTCCCAATTGGAGACTGAACACATTGAGGCCCCGGCGTGCCGGAGATGTTGTGCGCCTTCCTCGCAAAGTGCTGCGACAAGCCAAAGTCGATGTACACGATGCGTGGGTCTCGGTCGCAGGCCAAATGGCTAAATGGACCCCTGGTCCTCTTGGCAACCAAGACTCGCAACCCAATGATTCGCACGGTGTTGAATAAGCAGTTGCTTGCAGTGCACTTGCAGATTGCTATTTGTGCGGCATCGCGCTCCTTTCCCGGGGTTTAAAGCCGGCTGGGTGGGGAGCGTCTGCGAATCCACTTTGGGGCATGCAGGGCGTTTCAGGAGGGTGGTAATGGCGGTGGTGGTGGTGGTCGCGGCGGCGGCGGCGGCGGCGGCGGCGGCGGCGGCGGCGGCGGCGGTGGTGGTGGACGTCGGCGGTGGAAAACCAAAACGAGGGATTCAAGCAGAGCCGGACACGGGCATGTGGCCTTCCGAACAACGACGCCGCCGTTGGGGCGCCGGACGCCGGAAGTCGTCATCACATCTCGTCATGATGTTTGGCTCCTGGCAAGTCAGCAAGCCGAAGCTTTTGGTGCTGCAGAAAGGTACTACTGCACTTACAACTTCAAGTGTCCACTACCCCAAACAAAAAGTTGACCAGCATGGGCTTTTCGCAAGTTCGCACGCCGCTATCTTGCAGGGGTAAACTCAACGTCAGTGTGAACAATCGTCTCGTATCTCCCTTGCACTGCCAAAGCGTCACCGCAAGGACAGCCGTCCTTGATGTCGCAATGCATCTGAGCCATTTTGTGCCTTGAAAGGCGACCAGCCGAGCCGCACCAGGCATTGGTGCCATGTCACATGTGGGCTTTTGGTCCGCCCGTCAAAGATTTCTGGCATCATTCCCCTCACTCCGGATACCGTGCTCTTTGGAATCATGTTAAAACACCTTGCTTTGTATGGCACCTTCATCACACCCAAAATTGGAGGGTGCCCCAAATTGGGACAACCACCCAATGAGCCACTTGGGTAGGATTGGCACCAAGCACATCCTGAGACCAAGGAGCAAATAGTCCAAGCCCTCCAAGCATTGGCGGAAGAGTTGGCGCCACCAATCTTCGTTCATGTGCACACTCCGGTCGTAGGCCTGCAACTGTCTGGAAGCCAGGATTCGAATCTCAAACCGGCTTTCGCCCTTGCAAGCGCTCATGCTTCCCCGGTCCAAGTTCGTCGAGCCATAAAGCACCCAGATCGATGCAATTGCCGCAGAATACGGCCGACCCCGCTCTCCCATGGCCTTGCAGGCCAGCTTTGTCCAGTCCCCCCCGAAGTAGGGCTCATTCACCTTACGGTTTGGCGCCGAGCCCAGCGACTTGTCTCCACAGGCGTCCACGCTCCCTTCCGCCGCCAAGATGCCAGGTAGTAAAAGTCCTGGTCTTGGAAGGTCTCATAGGTCCTTGCCACATACCTCAGAAAGTTCGACTAGGGTCCCAAAATCGAAGATCACGCGCCCATCTCCCTGAAGTTTGGCAGGCGACTCATTGTCAAAGTCCTTCATCCGCGAGAACTCATCCACGAGTTCATTCACAGTTCCTGCGAAGCCCAGCTCTGCAATGCCAAGAGCAACGGCAAGGCAAGAGATGCAAGCTCAACAAGCGCATCCAAGCCGACACAAGCCGAGACCTGCATTGCTGTCTTTCTTGTAGTAAAACTTAATGCAGTACTCCGTGTCATCCTCGTCTCCTGGCCATCATTGGCCGTGTCGCGCATGAACCAGACTGTTTGCAGCCTGTTAATTGCGGCCAAGGGGCGGCAATCAAATAACCCTCCATCTGCTTCCCTTGGCAGTGGCTGCCATCAGCCGAGTGCATGCGAGCCCATGTGTTCCACAAAGCTCACGTACTCACAAGCTCGGTACAAAGTTGCTTGCAGCTTCTGGGGCGTGACAAAAACTGCGCAAAAGCCGGACCCAAGAGAATTAAGCGGAAAAGTAACAGGTTTTGCTGGGTTGGAAGACATCTTTCTGATCTTTGGTGGTTCAGCTTGAACCTATACACTCGCACACCTACGCAGAAGTCTTACGCGAACACGCGTTGGCACTTTGAAGCAGCGCAGAGTGATGATAGAACCCGGATCTGACAGCTAGAAGGCCTAGCTAGCAAACATGCCTTGAATGCAAACGCGGATGCCTACACAGGGCCTGAGCGTAGCTTGTAGAAAAAGCGGCATTGAGAAGCCTACGCTGCGCGGAGGGAATCAACATGCCGTTCGCAAAAACGGCGCGAGCCTACACCAAGAATATGCTTTTATGCAAATTGTGTGCAGTTTTCTGTGCCCTTGTCTCTGAAGGCTTTAAAAATCAAATTTCAGACGTTCAAGCACTCTGTCCGTTGAACAAGGGTGGCCCGACTTCTTCTTGGTCGAGATTAGATTCATTGAGGGAAACCCAACCTCAAGACAGGGAAGTGTTCATTTCTTACCCCAAAGGCGATTCGATTCCCGTAGGTTGGAATCGACAAGTCAATCCGCTTTTTTTGCATCGGTCATCATCCCAAAACACGCAGAATCCAGAACCTCATCTCCCTTTTAAGCGCACGCAAACGCCATGCTGCCCGAGCCGCTTCTTGGCCAGGTACATCACCCCCTGTCCCCCGCGGCCCAGCTCCCGGAGCACCACGAAGCCTCCTTTCTGGAGGGTCTTGAAGGGCACCAGCTCCTGTCAAGCCCCAAGTGTGTGTGTGTGTGTGGGACGGCTTGGGTGCACTCAGCCAATTCCAACCAGCATCGCAGGACAAACCTGGGGTTCAGGCCACTTGCCAAATGTTGAGCAACTGCCAACAGGAAATGTTGGACGTGTTACACAGTGGGACCGATTTGCCTGTCATGACTTGAAGGGGTCCCTAGCTCTGACCTATTCAGCTACTTGTGCTTAGCCATAGGGCCACTGGTCTGCAAGCCACCTTGCAGAAGGGCTTCCCTAATGCAATCATCATTCGCTTGATTGTTTGCTTGCTCGATTGCTTTTGTGCTTGTTTGTTGGTTGGCATGTGTTGGCTGGTTTCAAGTTGAAGCGAAACATGGCCGACGGATAGTTGAGCCCTGGCTCCTCTGCGTTTTCCGGGGTGTGCCCAGAGCCGGCCCTCCTTTCTTTGAGCACGCCTGGGATCGACTGCCCTTTGCGCAAAGCCACCCAGCGGCAAGGAAAACAGTTTTAGTTTGAAGGTCCTTCCATGTCCTTCCGCATTGATCTCAGAAAGGGCACAGAGTCACCAACCCTGTAGGTGAAGTGAAAACGTTTGACCGTGGTAGCCGGTACATCCTTCCTGCACATCAACAGTTGTTGCCCCCTCTTGTCTTCCAACTTCTCTGTTCTCCTTTCTTCTCTTCTCGCTAATTAAACTCTTTTCTCTTCTCTCTTCTGTTCATGGGGCATGCGGCACGTCTCCTGTCACGTCTTTCGTCGCTCGTCACGGATCTCGTCACGCATCTGGTCATGTTTCTCCCCGCGCCTCTTATCACGTCTTCATCAAGTCTCTCTTCAAGTCTCTTAGTCATGTCTCCCGTCACGTCTCTGATCATGCCGCTTATCAAGTCTCACATCACGTCTCTCGTCACGTCACGCTACAGTAGAAGTTAGGTCTTCGTCGCCTCGCTCCTCGCGTCTCAAGTGCTGCGCCTGCCACGAAAATTGCACGTGCCGCTCCACAGGGCCAGCGCAAATGACACTCGCGCAAAGGCTTGCAATCGCGTGCCAAGCAAAAAACGCCAAAGCGACCGCCCCCGTAGACGCAAATCGCAATGGCATGGCACGTCAACGTGAACACGCGACCTTCCAACACACTGCGCCTGCCGAAGCTACGATTCCCGCACACGGCCAATGCGCTTGCCGATCCATCACAAACATGCTTCCACCACGAAAGGTTGCAAACTCAGGAGCAACTCCTCGAGAACGCGGCCCCAAACCTCCAGTTGACGCGAAACATCGCGAAGCCTTCGCTACGCATTCGGGAACCCCCCCCCCTCACAGGGGTCAAATGACACCTGGATGCCAAGCTGCCTTTCACAAGTCTTTGGGTCTCTGCCGCATTCAGCATCCCATCTCCATTGAAATCGAACCTGAGACCAAAAGCACGGCGACGCAAAGCCCTGCCAGAATTCAATTCGACAGGCATGTGTCCAAACACCCTTGGCCTCATTCCACCTCAGGCCCCGATGGCCAGCAAGTGGAACGAAAGCAAAAGCACCTACCCTCTCTCTCTCTCTCTCTCTCTCTCTCTCTCTCTCTCTCTCTCTCTCTCTCTCTCTCTCTCTCTCTTTTAGATTCAAGGGTTACCGGTTTGGGGCCCAAAAGGAAACAACAAACCGTCCAAGTGCGCTGCTCGCACATTTTCACGCTTGAACAGCCACACTGCGGATGTAACGGATGTAAAACCCCATGTTGACTGATCAAATTCTTCACCCCCCTCTGCGTGTTAAAGGGGCCTTTCACAAAGCAGCCAAACAGTAACACAACAGAGGGAGAAGGTCAGGGGAACCATTGCTCACATGCAAACCATGACGGCTGCGCTTTTAGCGCCACCGCCAAGATGAATAGCTTCCGCTACTGTCACCCCATCCGCTCCATTCGGACCAATTCTGCCAGCTGCCACGGCTCCAATGCTCACCCTCGCGGGCGGCGGGAGCGCTCGTCTCAGCATAGCGGGCTGCATTGCGAGCAAGGTGCTTGCTGCTCTCGTTCCTCGAAAATTCAATCGAGTTACGTGCATACCGCTCATTCTGGCTGAAAATCCAGTCCATCTCGTTGCGGAGGTCGTCCAACGTGTTGCCTCGCAGATGAATGATCCCGTTCCAACAACCAATGCTGCGGGGCCTATTCTGTTCCATCACCACGTTGACGAAAGCTCTCGGGCTGTAAGGCATCCCTTGCAACATTACGATCCAGCGAGAGGACAACGCCTCTTGCAGCTCGTTGGGCAGGAACTCCAAATCCGTCTTGATATACGCGAGCCTTGCGATTCGCGACTCCGAAGTTGATCCAAGGCCAACTCCCAGAGTGCGCTGGGCCTGCGACTGCTTCGGAGCAGCCAAGACGAGATTGGCGCTCAGCTCCATGCGGAGCATATCCGCCTCCCGACGGCCCACCTCAAGCATACGAACCCTGTACTGAAGATCGAGTTCGTAGCGATCAAGCAGAGAGTGGTAGCCGTTCTTCAGGGCGGACTTGAGCTTCTTCCTTGCCTCCTGAATAACAGCACTGTCCGGGGAGTTCAAGCCACGAATGATGCTGTTACGATCCTCCTCGCGAAGGTCGAATGTTCCCACAGATGCAAGGACCTGAGATGTGACGTGGGTGCTGAGGCCCATCTTCTTCAACAGGTTGGAACGCTGCACGATGTAATTCTTTTGCTGCTCTTTCAACAGGCGTGGATTGAGGGGAGACGAACTGCCCACATGATGAGCAGTGCACCTGCCCCTCGAAGACACTGTTGTTGCAAACCGGGCACGTGGCGACATTCAGCTCAACGTTCTCCATTGGGTTGAAAGTCTTCTGCCTCTCCGCTTCCCCTTGCGGGGCGCGAGGAGAGGCCACATTTGTGCGCGTCGTAGCAATACGTTCCAGCGCCGTTGAACGATCATCAACCACAGCTTGGTCGCGCTTCATCCCCTGGGGTTCATCTTCAGTCGCCTCAGTTGGTGCACCTGCATCCGATTGCTCGGAGCGAGTGTACCATACATCGCCATTTGTAGCGTCCAATACCGAAATAATCGTGTAATTGGGCACCTTGTCGCGCGTGAGGACGCCATCGCTCTCTGTCTTGAAAAAGCAAAGCCCTGCGCGAATGGCCATCCTGAGGTCGATCTGTATCTCCAGGGGTTTGTTCGCACGTACACCTGAAATGTAGTGTTCATTCGTGCTGGGGACGTCGGCGAAGAAGACGTGAGGCCGGCCTGTTTCATGCTGATCTCCACCGCCTGGCAATAGTCCGTTCCGCATGATATTAGCGAAATTCCGCTTATCAGTGCGGTGATAAAGCACAGTTGGAGGATTGCTGCAAACATTCCAGCCGGACCAGCGCCAGAGGTCGGTCCCCGGGTTCACGCACCACTCCTTCGCGATGCCGGAGTCGTCGATCTGGAGCCAGTCCTCATGGCCTTGAGAGGCCTTCAGCTTGAAAAGCCAATGAGAACACGGAACGTCTCCGCACCGGCTTGCGTCCGGGCAACCAAGGCCAATGAACCTCTGCTTCTTGTCCAGCTTGAAGATATCCATGATGTTCTGAATGTTCCATGGAATGGGATGTCGCAGCTCCTTGCGAAGCACGAGTCCCAGGTCTTCGAGGTCCATGTAGCCGTCCTCATCCATCACGTACCCGCATCCTTCTGTTCCACGACCACGAAGGATCTTGGAGATGCATGTCAGGGAACGGTGGTATTCATCACTGATTCTCCTGACGGAAGGGTCGTAATCGAAAGAGGGCTGCTTGATGATGTCGAGTCTCTTGGGGCCCTCGCCGTAGTACGCTATACACCCAGCAGTCATAATGGCCCCCAGTCACGCTCCTCCCGTAGGAGTCAAGTGGTACCGGCCTGCTCACCTCCTCGTCCCTTTTTGCCACCGCAGCCGCCTTTGCACCGGCTTGCGCCGGGCGAACACTTTCGGAAACATCTGCACCGGAAGGCTCGCCTGAAGTTGCAAACTCGGCTAGGTTGACGGGGGCGAAATCGAGAGGCTGCCGGACTTCCACTTCTTCACGGGTGAAAGGGAGCCCGATCATCTCTGACAAAGAAACACCGCACTTCGTTAGCGTCTCCTTGCAGTACGCAAGAACCTCAACGTTGACAGTGCAATCTTCTTGGTGGCGCAGCTCAAGCACATCGATCGGACGCACGGTACAGTCGTGCGAACGGATCAGCTCGGCTACGCTGCCCATCGCGGGGCGCAAGATGGAAAGCATATACAACATGTGATGGGTTCCGCGCATGAACTGGACAGTCTTCGTGATGTTGTCGTCACTGAGGCACATATGATACCTGTCCAGCAGATCGATGGTCTCGACAAAGGGTGTAGCATCTACGTACACAAGCATATTGTTGGGGTCGCCGATGATAAAGTCCCGGACTTCCGTCATGTAACGATCCCAAATCATGGAGAAGCCGTAGAGATAGCTTTTCGCGCCGGTCATGACACCAAGGCATGCGCAGCCCTTGCGGGCCGCGAAATCCCTGGTCCAAGCCAGGTGCCTCTTGGTGTCTGCCAGCAACTCACTGGCTTCGCCGGCGGGGTGGTCGAACGGGTAGGTGCCGCTGGGCTCAATGCCGTCCTTCCCAACAAGCTCGTTGCCGTTCCAATAGATCATAGGAACGATGGTCGCCGTCGGGTAGTCCGTACGCACCTCGTCGATAAGGGCGGCCATGCGCTTGCAAAGCTGTTGCAGGCCTTTACCCCAAAGCATTTCCGCCCTCCATGCACCGACACGCGCCGGGCGAGAAGCATCCAAGCGTTCTGCAAAATCATATTTGCGGAGCTTCTTCTTCTTGCCCGAAACCATTGACAGTCCTGAGTCAGCGACAGTCGATCTGGTACACGTGGAGCCTGCACAACCTTCAAATAAGGTTCACTAATACCTGCACCCATGTATGGATAAGCGACTGTGCAGAGGTCGTCTCCAGGAGGCCCTTGACCGTAGCGGCAAGGTTAGCATCGTACTTGCCGTTCGTGCATACCGATGTGGTAGCAACATTCTCCATCCACCGCCTCCATGCCGGATCGCAATCCCTCGCGGGATGCGCCATAGCCGTTGGGCCGCTCATTGCGAAAACGATGCAGCACAATTACTCGAAAGCAACGGCTGCATGGTGGCATGTTCGGAAAATGCATTGTGAACGGCATCAGTGTAAATGTACGTGTATCCCTCGGCTTCCTTCAAGTGGGTGCCACGGCTTTCATCATGCTCGTGAGAACCATCACATTTGAAGTACTCAACAACGGAAATAGTGGGCATATTACTGGCAACGACCCATTGCTTTTTCATTGGTTTTCCATTTCTCCCTTTGATGCCGATTTTACAACCATGGAATTCGTACTTGTTCATCTTGTACTTAGTTAAGAAACTCCATAGTTCAGGCCATTTCCAATAACGACACGCCTTGGGGAGTTCGAAGGCAACTCTAATGTCATTTGAATAAACATCATTGAGAATGCGTTTGAACCCTCTCAACAGTGATCGGAATTGCTTGATGTGGCCCTCAATCTTGGCAGCACCTTTGGGAGTTTGCTGGTTGACATAACCCCACGGGCAACCTCCAGTGCATGGCAACGAGACGTAGAACATGATTGCGCCCTTAGGATTCTTGCTCCTGAATTCGGCGATTTCACGGCTCAACCACTGCCTGCATGTATCGGAGCACCCGTCTTCGGTTTCCGTTACCCGAATGACACGGCAACCTTTTGAAGAGTCTCTTGATTCGCCCAACCGTGAGGTCGTCGAACAACAGAATTCAATAAGGAGGCGCTTGGGCTGAACGTTGCATAACGCAGCGATCTGCCCCCCCTAACTTCTCCGGCCTTGGCGCATGGGGAGAGCAGCAAACTGGTGGCACAGGCTCGCGCCTGCGCCTGGCGACTGGGGGAGATTCCGATCAGCTCAAGTGCATGGTGCCACACCGGGGTGCTGTCAAACGCCTTGGTCAAGATGTCTGCAGCTTGGAGGGTAGTGTCAACATTGATTAGTTCGAATCGCCTATTCACGAATTGCTCCTGGAGCCATCTGAAGCTAATGCGTTGGGTCCTATCCGTGTGCCTTAGCTTCTGTGAGTGTCCCTGCTGCAGGATAGTGATCGTGGCCTGATTGTCTTCCATCAGCTTGACTTTCCACTTATCACTGAGATGCACAGTTAGGGCATTGATGTTTGCTACACTTGTACCCGCATCAACATTTCCGTACCGAATTTCATCCAACTCGGGATCAATGCGAGCAACAATGCCATCGGGCACATCAAGGGAGGCTTTTCCAGCCTTTTGTACCCATGTGCTTCTTTCCCAAACAGGCTGAGCTGACAGAAAAGCGACAGCGTCGGCAATCCCTCTGCTCTGAGCGCCTGGTTCGCAGCGATGA